TATTTTTCTTCAATATTTAAAAAGGTTTAATTAAATTGGTGATGAAAGTGTATTAGGGTTAGGTTCTGCTTTAACAAAGTGTGCTAATCTCTCAAATTTAGCACTTGATCTTGGGTAAAAACAGTTTATTTGTTTATCATTATTTGTTAATTTAATTTATTTTTTAATTTTCAACTTTTGCCTTTATTATTAATTAATTTCTTCCTTCTAATAAACTAATGAACTTTATCTGTTTTCTTAAATAATTAAAAGATTTAATTAAATTGGCAATGAAGGTGCATCAAGCTTAGGTTTTGCATTAAGTAAGTTCACTAATCTCTCAAATTTGGAACTTAGCCTTGAGTAAAAACAGTTTATTTGTTTTGGATTGATATATTTTCTAATATAAAAATGAATATAAATTAACATAACTAGCTCTTCTAATTTATTTAACTTGATTTTCTTTTATTCTTATTCTGATTGTGTTTTTTTTGTTTTTTAATTTTCAACTTTTACTCTTATTGATAATTAATTAATTTTTTATTATTTCATATTATTTTTTCATTTATCCCTTCATATTAACTAATTAATTTTATATTTATTTTTAATATTTAAAAAGCTAAAATTAAATTGGCGATGATGGTGCATAAGGTTTAGGTTCAGGTTTAGGAAAGTGCAATAATCTCTAAAAATTAGTACTTGCTCTTAGGTATAAAATTTTTTTTTTTGGATTATGATATTTTTTAATATCAAAATGAATTTTTTATAATAAATTCTTTTAATTTATTTATTAGCTTTTTATTTGATTATTTTTCTTGTTATACTTTATTTTACTTAAGATTTTTATTGATTTAAAATTATATATTTTATTTAAAAATTGTATTGTTTTAAATCTTTTTAAGCTACTTTCAATAATTTAAAATAAAAGTATAAACGAAATGAATGAATCATAATAATTAAAAGTAGAAACCAAGTGTCGTAAATCAAAAAGATTGGTTATCTTTAAAAATTATTTCTTATTATGATAAATAAGTGATGAAAAAGGATGAATAGATGTAATAATATTTGAATAATATAATATGTAAAAAATGTTTTATTCAAATTTATGAAATTTTTGAATGTATAAATTTGTTTTTTACTGATAAAAATCAGATTAAAACTTAATAAGAAATTAAATTAACAAAAAATTTTTTAATTTTTGTTAATAAAATACTTAAAATTATATAGACAGATAATTTCATAATGCTTGCAATCAACTTATCAAGCTATATATAGCTATTTTCAGAAAATTATTTTTTAAAAAAATATTTTTAATTAATTTTTTTTATTAGAGTTCATTAAAAAAAAAATTTTTTTCAAATAAAAATAAAGGATTTCAATATTTAAAAATATACTTAATTCAATAAATCTAATTGATAGAATTTGTAATTCTAATTATTAATTAGAATATATATTAAATTATTAATGAAATTTAGAATTTGTTGATAAAAATTAAAAAAATTACTAACAAGGATAAAAAAATCTTAAAAAACATAGATTTATTTTTTTAATTAATTAATTAATTAATTAAATGAAAGTTTTATTTAGATGATCATCAGATATGTTTAACCTAAGATTCATTACCTTTTTTAATAAGGTTTTAATTAAAAGATTCTGATTTTTTTTAGAATTCTTTTGATTAATCGGCTAAAATATCACTGATTCCAGTTTCATTAAGCATTTTAAGAGTTTCTATACCAATTGGTGGGGCAGTTAACCAGTTTAATGGTTTACCACAACCTAATCCTTTGACGTTACTATTATAAGTACCTTTATTCTCAACTTCTTTTTGTTACTACTTTTTCCATAATAAATTTCTCCAGTCAAAAGTAAATTTCATAAATGATTTTCCACCAGAGTAATAATCTTTTTCAAGCTGGCGATTACCACATGTAGTATTATCACAGCCAGCTACTTTAAGCCAAATTTATCCACAATTAGGACATTGCTTTAGTAGATTTTATGGTGCTTAAGGATTCAATAAGCTATAAGACATATTTTAAGAGGCTGCTTTACGTACTTACTCAACAATAGGGATAAAATAAGATTTTAACTCCAAATAATGCATGAAACTATCAACTTCAATCATATCTTTACCATATTTATTTTCAAAGTCTTCGAGTATTTCCTCAGCAATTTTCGCAATGAGTACATTACAAGCATGTAAAAATTCATCCTTATCACTATCACTATATATCAACATTTCCTTTAACATATATTTTGATACTTTATCGAAATAGTTCTTATATTCAATAATATATTAATCAAAATTCTCGAATAAATCAAATGTGTATCTAAACTCTTATAAATTAATGTCGAGCTAAACTGCTTTATTCTAGCAAAGGCTTTTGTAAATAGCATTGCATAATTCTTCAGGATCAGAATCTTTACCTACAAAAATAAAAGAATTTTATAAGCTTGGATCTTTTTTCATCAGTTTTTCTTTAGTTTCTTCATAAAGGCTTCTATTTTCTGGAGTGTCATCTCTATCCCAGTGAGTAATTATAACAGTTATAAGATGTTTCCATTTATATAAAAGTTTCAATTTTTCAGATATATTTTTTTATAAAATCCCAAACTTATGATGGTATTCTATTAATATAAAAATTCTATTTATAGGTCCCTCAATTAGAGCAGAGCGTAAGCATAAAGCATGTCCAATCTTATCATCGTCAGCGCTAGTACCAGGAGTGTCAAGAATGTAAAAAGATTCTCCATAGGCAGAGCTACTTCTAAAAGAGTTTCTAGTAGTTGAAGTTCCATGATTAGAAGTCTTCTGATTTTTATTTGTTATTTTGTTAAAATTAGTTGTTTTTCCAGAACCAACATCACCAATAAATACTCCTGAAGGAATAGAATCCTGCTATATTTAAGTTTAATTATAAGTAAAAAACAAGTGTTTTTTATGAACACTTACAGCCATTCTAATTCTATTTAGATTATACTTGTTTGTTTTCTTTTCAATTTAATTAATTATCAAAAAATTGAGATGATCGATCGATCTACTCACTCTTTAAACAGATTATTTAATAAAAAGATAATATTCTAATATATCTAGATAATCGATGTCTATTTATAAATTCTTCATGTCTATTACAAAAATAAATCAGTTTGATCATTTATTTACAAAGTTGCATTTATAATTTAATTTAGAATATTTAAAAATCATTGTCAGATTTTAATGGTAATTAATAAATTCTTTGGTTTCTTTCATTTAAAAAATAAAAGAGTTTATTATTTATAATAAAAATTAATATTCTAAAAAGAATATATTAATAATAGATGTCTATTTCTAAATTCTTGATGTATATTAACTTTGTAAATAAACAATTTAACTAATTTATTTTTCTGTATCAAAAAAACTAGTTTTAGTTAGTTAATCCTTATTTAAACATGAATATTTAGAAAGCGTTTCAAAATACTAAATAATTATTTCAATTCATTCATGCTTAAAAAAGGTTCCAGATGAATGTTTGGATAATAGATGTCTAACAAATTCCAAATAACTGTTTGAATTAATGTTTAATTAAAATAGAAATTAATAATCAAAAGGATTTAGAATAAATAAGCAATCTAATATATAAAAATATATTAATTGAATATTTTAGAGTATTCAATATTTTAGAATATTGAAAATATAAATTCCTATTTTTAAATTCTAATAATTATTTGCCTTCATTCTTGCTTAAAAAAGGTTTTAGAATATATAATAAATTTAACATATAAAAAATAAATTAGTTAAATAAATATTTAAGAATTGAATGTGAAAATGATTTTCAAACAGATAAATTTGTAATGATATTGAATTTATTTGTTTTTAGTTTTTAAAATTATGTGAAATTTTAGATTTTCCAATTAAAAGATTCCAAAGGCGTATTATTATCTTATTTTAATTTTAATGAATTATTAATATTAGTTTTTCCATCATTGACTTTTAAAACTAATTAAAACTCTTTTCTAAATTTTAATACCTAACTAACTATGCTTGCTTAAATCAATCACTCAACTCTTTTATATATTTTAAAATTAATTTAGTTTAAATTTGAGTTTTAAATGCATATTTAATAAAATAAGTATACGGATAATATGCTGGGGCCTAAAAAATATACTAAGCATAAAAAAGCATATTTTTTTAAATAAAGTTTAATTATAAGTTAATATTTTATTCAAATTTGCATGAACATCAAACCCTTCTTTTTAGTTTTAAAAAGTTCAAAACAAATTTATTTATTTATTTAAAAATATTTTTTTCTCTCAAAATTAGAAAAAAACTTTCTGTTTTTACAAACCTTTTAAAAACAAGTAAAAAGAAAATAATTAAGCGGTAGAATAAAAATAATAAATGAATTATTTTATAATCATTTGAAATATCACAAATCATTATATCATTTCTGGTTGGTGATTTTTATTCAAATGCAGGAACACCAATATCTTTATTTATATAATATAAATTTATTTTATTGTTGTAAATTTGTTTCTATTTTTAAATTTCTCCTATAAATTAGATTAGTCTTTAAAACTGCGTGCTTACTTACTTAAGAAAATATTAATAACAAATCTCAAAAAATACATTAAAGAGAAAATTTAATTAGCTTTTGACAGCAAAAATAATAAGTATTTGTTTTGAATAATAAATACAAATAACTAAATAATTTAAGAAGAAATTGTGTAAATTAATTAAATGTAATCTTTTATATCAAAAATAAGTTTGCTCTGATCAGAAAAGTATATTTAGATTAAATCTAAAAAAATAAATGAAGAGTTGAATAATATATTTCATAGAAATATACATGAGTAAAATAAAATATTATGTTAATATTATCTAAGAAGATCGAAATATATATTATAATTAATTAATAAATTAATTATCTCAAATCTTTTTAAAATTAAGTAGAAAAACATTTTTATTAATAATCTAAATAAATGGGTGTATTCAATCCAAAAGAATAGAGAAAGTAAGTCAGAGGTGGTATATATATTTAGCTTGAGCAGACAGTGTTTATGAGTAATTAAATTATCCGTGGTCTAATTAATATTAATTTAGAAGAACCATTTTAAGGTCATGTTTTATCAATTACTTTGAATGGAAAAGAAGAAACATAATTCACTATTCCCAGGTAAAGAAAAGCAGGAAACTAACATTAAATAATGGCTTGTTAGGTTAAGGGTTTTAATAATTTTCTAAACTTTACTATTCCTATTTATGACTTTTCTTAAGGGTCTATGGACCATAAATTTATAATTCAGCCTTGCTAAGTAGTAATCCCTTTTGAATTAGTGATTGGAGATAAACTTCCTTCTTCGATGTAGTATTCAAATAAGCCAGAAGAAGTAGAATGCTCTATAAAATATACATTAGTAGCATAGATAATCCCAACGGAAGATAATTTGAAACCTATTGAAGGAGTTTAGGAGATATTTATAGGATAGTAATTCCCTTCTTACTATTTGCATGACAATTTTACTTCTACTTAATAACCTATTTTATGTGGTTGCTACAAATCAGGAAGGATTATTTACAATGTCACAACAAACAGCAATTCTTTCTCTCCTAATGAACAAATTATAGTCAAATTAGATGTTGACTTTAATCAATACAGAAAAAAAGTAAAATATCTAAATGTCAAATTAGCGGGTTTACTAACAGTCAAAGTAAATGATACTGATTATTCAAAATAAGCATAAATTTATGAATAAACCATTAGAGTTGATGTGAACGAATAATCTCGACTACTCAAAGAAGTCTAACTATCAATACCTCATAATATCACTCTATCTTCTCAGAGTTCGCTTATAAAAGTTGACTACAATTTATTAATTTATCCTGAAATAGATACATCTTGCGTAGTTTCTTACACATGTCCTCATAAAATAGAAATATTCATGAATCCAAGTTAAGATGGTAATTAGAGTGGTGCTCCTCAATTACTCCTAATAAAAATACCTTAAAATTGGAATCCTACTTAATTGCAACCTTCTGAGTTCAATGAAAAATAAATATCATAAATTAAAGAGTAATAAAATTCATACTTTCAGAAAGAGTCAAAAAAAGTAAATTATTCTGAAATTAAGGAAGGATATTATACAAATGAGAGTAAACAAACTAAAAAAATAAATAAAATGCCTAATATAGTTACTTCTCAAATAGATCCAATCAATTAGCCACTAATGACTGATTAAAACAAATGAAATAAATTCAAAATCATTAAAAATATGATAGTAAAAATAAATTACAATCAATTTTAATATATTTTTATCTTCATTAAATCAAACAAACAAATTACAAAAATTAAATTTATTTACAAAAGTTAATAAAAATTAACCTTTTTTAGATATCATTTTTATATGTATCATTAATTGCACTGAAATTAAAAATTTTTCTTTTCTCTTTTAAAACTCTTTATTAAGCTATTAAGATAAAATTAAATGGAAGATTTTTTATTTTAGAACAAATTAATTGTTGATTTTTCTTTTATTTGGATTTTATATGTAAAAAAATATAATAAAAACATATAAAAAAAGAATTATTTTTTAATAAAAAAGAGTACTTTTTGAATTTAAAAAACAAGGATAAGCTTTTTACATTTAAATAAATTACAAATGATATTAAAAATAGTCAATTGCTTTACCTCTTTTTTAGATTTAGGATGAGAGGATTTTTTATTTGATAATTTTATTTAAGTGTAAACTCCAATACAAAGTCATTAGGTAATTCTGGTAATTAATATTTTTTTATGAATTCTGCAAAAACAATCTTGGCTTATAAATTTGCGAGATGTTGGCCTATGCAGTTTCTCATTCCACCAGAGAAAGGTAAATATACAAAAGGGTTTTCTTTGATCATGTTTTCAGTAGAATGATCTAACCATCTATTTGGATTAAAATTAAGAGGATCTTTGAAATATTTTTCATCTAACTAATTACTTATTAAACCCACGTTTACATAAGTGCCTTTTTAAATATTATAATTTCCAATTTTATGGTCTACCTTAGCTTCGCGAGTAAATAAAATTGGGGCGCTTGTATTTATCCTGATTGTCTCTTTTAAACAAGCTTAAAGAAAATCTAGCTTTTAAATGTCAGAAAATGTGTAATTAGGAGGTAAATTTAATATTTCTTTTTCTACTTATTTGAAGTAATCAGGATTTTTGATTAAATAGTATAACATCATAGTCAAAACACTAGCTAAAGTGTCTCTTGAAGCAAAGTAAAGACTGAAAGTAAGGTTTAATATATCAGTTATTTCTTGTTCATCTTCCATTTTATGTCCTTCTTTGATCAAAAGAGCAATAATGTTAATATTTTCTTATTCTTTGTTCTATTCAATATGAAATTTCTCTCTCTTGATTGTATCTAAAATAATATTTTTCATCTATTAGCGCACATATTAAACTTTTTCACATATTATCCTATCAGATTTTCTTAGTTTTAACTTAACAAATTTTTCTCCAAAGATAATAGGAATAATGCTCATATAATGATGAAAAATTTCAGCACACATAGTGTCAATAGCGTTATAAGGATTTTTACCATCAATTTTATAGTCATCTATGTTAGCGCCCATAAAAATCTAAACAGAAATAGCACTATTAATTGCTTCAAATTGCTTTAATACCTAAAAATTAGAATCTTCTATTCTATCTAACATAGTTTTTGAAACTCTGCGAATACTGCTAAGATAATTTACAACAACATCAAACTTGAACAACTTAGAAATAAATTTTCTCTAAATTTTCCATTTTTCTCCTTCTTCTAGAGCTATTCCATTTCCAAGAAATTGTTTAAATCCTATTAAAGGAGCCTCAAATTTGACATAGTTCTACTAATTTTGTAAAAACTCATTGATCAGATTTGGCTCTATAAAAATCAAAAGAGCTCTATCAAGCAAATTAGATAAAATAGCATCCTCTCCCTTATATTTGTCATCAAATTTAATATATTTTACAGTCTTTAGATTATCATTTGATGATTTATCCATCCATTCTCTAGCCATACCACTAATAGGATAGTATTTATACTCATTGATTCCTTAATTAGCATAGAAACGCATAGCCATTTTGGTAAAAACAAAATATTTTAATACTAAAAATATTACAAATGTGAGAAGTGAAATTCCAAAGAAATCTAATATCGTCATATTTATTTTTTAGTTGTTTAAAATCTGTTTAGATAATCTAATTAATTATTTAATTAATTATCAACTTAGTAAATCTTTACTTAATTTGTACTATTTAATTATACTCAAATTTTATTTTGTGGTAATTATATTTGTAATTAAAATTGTAATTAAAAATAGAGCTTATAAATTCTAAACTTTAATAAACTGATTGAGGCAACAATAAAATATCCTAAAGTAATTAAAAATTTAATCTAAACTTTTTCTGATAGAGTTTGATCTTAAAAAAAATTTAGAAGAATATTCTTTTCTGTTCTATAAAAAATATATGCAATTCATTGTGCCTTTTTTACATTCCAACAATTAAAAATTAAAGCATTAAAAATGTAAAAAGAATTAATTTAATTAAAAGTGTTATGTATATATATACTATCATTTGCAAAATTAAAAAATGCTTGTATTTTTTTAATTAATTAAGAACATTAACTATTAAAATTTTTTCAAATATACCTAACTGTGCATCTCTAATTTCTACTATATTTTTAAGTATATGTTTTAAATACAAATATAAAGATTAAATAATGAATGTTAAATTAATTTTTCTGTGATATAACTTCATAAAACCAAATTTATAAATTAACATTTGATAATTAATTATTATATTTTACTTGTTCTTTTTATCCATTTATAATTAATTAAATTCAATAAATTGCTATTCAATATTTTTTAAAAAAATAAATGATTTAATAGATAAAATATTACAAAAAATTAGAAGAAGTAAATTTTAATTTTTTTCTTTAAATTTATATAAATTAATAAAAAAAGCTTTTATACTCTTCACTTTTATCTGATTAGATTCTCCATATTGATCTGAAGTATATTTTATTAATAAATATTATTTTTATTATTATTAATATTTTTTACATATTTAACTTTCAATTTATTTAAATTAATAATTTTTCTTACAGAAATTATCATTATTATTATTTGATTTTATTAAAACAAAATTTTTTAGCTATTTTAACTTAATTTTAATTTTTAAATATTTATTATTAATTTTTTGATATTTTTTCTTCATTTTTTGCTATTAAAACTTACACTTAATAAAAACAGTTTATTTGTTTTGGATTGTAATCTTTTTAATTATAAAAGTTAATTTAAAACAATAAAGCTGTTTTAATTTATTTCATTTATTTTCCTTTTTCTTTTTATTGTGTTTGATTTTTTTTTCATCCTTTGTTAATTTAACTAATTATTAATTAATCTTTTTATTCCATATTTTTTCTTCATTTTTTCCTTCTAATTAACTGTTTAATTATATATTTTTTAATCAATATTTAAAAAGTTCCAATTAAATTAGTGATGAATAGAATAGAATAGAAATACTCGCACATAAAAATGCACTCAGAATACAACTTAAAATTAATTAAAATCATTCATTACATATATATTTTTATAGATTTTATTATGTTTTAATAAGGTGTTTAAAAACATATGTTTTCATTAATATATTTGTAAACCATTTAGGTTAATATCAATTACTTAGTATTTTTATCAAATGAATGAAAATGGCCTAACGAAGATAAGCTATTTCATATACTGTTAAATGTATTACTAATTAATACTTGATTCATCAATTAATTTCTGAATTTTGGATCATTAAATATTAATGATATTTTTATATATTAAAGAATCCTCCTATTTATGTTATTATATATATATATATATATTAAAACTTTTTGTATGCTCTAAGTATAATTACTAATTAATATGAATATTTATAAAAATACATTTTTAATATTATATAAGTTATTCTTTTATCAGCACTTATCAAACATAATAGCTAAAGCCCACACACCGCATGCTAAAACAGCACTTTCTCCATTAGTCAAACATTTTGTTTTCTATAAACCAGAACCAGGAAAGCTTTAATTTTCATAATAGATAATAGCATTAAAAGAACACTTATTAGTATATATTTAGCATTCATCCACCACTGAATCAGCAATACACTCATAGTCATCTGGTAAGCTAGATAAATTTTCTTAATTTTTATTTATGACATAAAAAATGGCAGTAGCTAAAGTAGCCACAAATAAAAATGTGAATATTAAGTTTTAAATTTTCATTTTTTTTTTGAAGATTATTTTTATTATTTATTAATTATTGTTTGTATGTCCTTAGATTTTTGAAGATTTAAACTCTATTTATGAATTTAGTAACCTATGCATTTAAACTACTAATTTCAGGTTTTATATTGCACAGCAACAATAGTCATCTATTTGGATGATCAGATAGATGCTTAATTAATTTTGAAAGTTATTTGATTTGAAAATTAAAACTCTATCTATGAATTTAGTAATTAGGATATTTAAAAGATTAATTTCAGGTTTTATTTTGTTTAATAATAATAGCTATCTATTTAGATGATCAGGTATTTTTTTTCAGCAAAAATAAAAATGAAGGAATATTATGCAAAGTTTTCATTAAATGATTTTTTACTTTTAGAATAATTATTAAAAATTAAAATTTTAAAGTTTAAAATGAATTTAGCTAAATATAAATTTTAAAATATTTCTTTTAAATAACTTAAATTAACATTCAGGTTGAAAAATCTTATTTCAAATTTTAAAAAAATTGTCATTTTGATTTATTTTTAAACTAATTTTACTTACTTACTTACTTATTTTAATAAGCAGATATTGTTTTTATAAATTAAATAAAGCTTAGATAAAAATGAAAACTAACTAAAATAAAATTAATCAAACTATTATATGATCAAAAATTAGTAATCTCTAACCTTCATATGTATTATATAAGGTAAGTTAGAGTAAGTAAATAAATTACTTTTGAATTTTGAGTTTATTTTTAAAGCATTGAAACAGATATTTAAAAAATGTTAGATACTTAATTAAAATGAATCTATTTCTTAATTAATTATTTAGTTAAAATTAAGTGTTTTTGAATATAATATAAATTATCGTAAAATTTCTTTAAGAAACGAACGGGTTGCAAGGTAAGAGGTTAGAGTCTTAAAATTTTCAAGACATCGATAACTCGAAAGTTTTTTGAATTTGTGGGTTACGAGTTAACAAGGTTTTACAGTATATTTATTGTTTCATTATTAAGTTTGTTGAAAATAAACACTAAATAAAATCAGATTCTTACCCGTAGGAAATTGAATAAATGTCTTAAAACTAAAAAGGATAAGAAGTTAAAACAATACATTAAAATAATCTTGTCTATTATAAAATTTTAAAAATACTAAAATACTTAAAATAAATAATTTTTAGATAATTCATGACCAGATCGATCTTGCAGTTTATAAAATATTAAAAGCAAATTAGAAAAATTAAGTCCTGGAGGTAAATAACTTATCAAAATGCATTAAACTTTAATAATTTGATAAATAATTATCACTTTTGAATTTAAAAAAAATAATTATCTCTTTCTTTTTATTAGCGATGATTTAAATAAGATTTAGAACTAAATCTAATAAAATTTAAGAATATGTATAAATAAATAAAAGATAGGTTCATTAATTTTTAAATCTTATAATATATAAAAAATACTTATAAATGTAAATATATTGTTAACTTTTTATTTAATTTTCAACAATTTTCGTATAATTCAGTGTAGTCATATTCTCTACAGGTCACAAGAATAGTTTCATACATTTAGAGTAGAAATAACCTTATGAAGGATTTTTCTTATCTAAATACCTTATGCGTACATTAAATTGGCAGTCATTAGTTTCTTTTAAGCAATTTTCAGTCCTCTCTGCATGAATGCAATTAATAAATTTTATTTTTTTATTTTTTTATTTACATATTATCTTAATGTAAAGTTACTTTTTTTAGTAACGAGATCTTCCCTTTTTAACAAAAATAACATGATAATTAGATAAAAGAATTAATCAAATAAGAATCATATTCACTAAATTCTTACATCTAAATAAAATGCATTGTAATTATTTGAATTGAGTAATTAGATAATTTTTACAATTAATTTCACGTTTTATGTAATTTAAAAGACAATAGTAAGTAATATAATTTACTTATTCAATGTACTTTTTTTAGAGCATATAACAATTATAGAAATCTCATGTTCTATTTTATGATTCTTTTAAATTAAATAAGGTGAGAAATTCTTGATTTATAAATTAATGATACAATATAAATCACATATTTTTTTGATAAATAAAAATAAAAATATAATAACTTCTTTAATTTCAATTCTATGATTACAAAATATGGAAGAAATAGAGAGGAGATAGATGAATTTATAAGTTAGAAAAAATTAAGATAGTCTTTTATGACTTAAAATTAAAATAAGAATAAATTAAATTTATCAAAAAATGCAAATACAAAAAAACATTTTAGAATATTTAACACATTTCAGATTTGTAATTTGGTATTTTATTTTTTTATTTACATATTATCTTAATGTAAAGTTACTTTTTTTAGTAACGAGATCTTCCCTTTTTAACAAAAATAATATGATAATTAGATAAAAGAATTAATCAAATAAGAATCATATTCACTAAATTCTTACATCTAAATAAAATGCATTGTAATTATTTGAATTGAGTAATTAGATAATTTTTACAATTAATTTCACGTTTTATGTAATTTAAAAGACAATAGTAAGTAATATAATTTACTTATTCAATGTACTTTTTTCAGCGCATATAACAATTATAGAAATCTCATGTTCTATTTTATGATTCTTTTAAATTAAATAAGGTGAGAAATTCTTGATTTATAAATTAATGATACAAAATAAATCACATATTTTTTTGATAAATAAAAATAAAATTTAAAATAAATTTAGTTCATTTTTTTTTTTAAATATTAGAAAGTAAAATTAATTTTCTACTTAATTAAATTAGCAAGCAAGACGAATAGTCTTATTTCAAATTTCTTAAAAATAATTTTTTTGATCTATATTAAACTAGTGTTACTTACTTACTTACTTATTTTAATTAAAAGAAATTCCTTTTATAAATAAAATAAAGAATAAATAGATAAAATTTAAATAAAAACGAATCAAATAATTTCAAAATCTAAAATTATAATTCACACCAAACCATACTCTTTATTATAATTTTATTATCAATCAAGCATATAACAGTAAATTCATAAAGAATTTTTGAGTTTGTTTTTTTGAATAAAAAATAAATTTTTTTATATATTTTTATTTTATTATAATTTCAATAAAAATAAATTAAAAATATAACAAATATTCTAATTAATAAAACTATTATAAAAAATGAATAATTTAATTTAAAATAAAAAATTTTATTTTAAAATAATAAAAAAAGGCTCAAATGTCTAAAATTTATAGCTTATTCAAGAATTAAATTCTATTATCTAATCGTTTGTAAGAATTTAATTCATGGAAGTGCTATATAATAAATAGCAGCTTAATATAAATTATAACATAATATATTTATATATCTCTTTTTATCTAATCTTTTTAATATCAGTAAACTCATATTATCTATATTAAATAATTTATTCATAACTAAAATATCTAACATATCATCTAATTTATTTAATTCTTTTTATTTAAAATCTTACTAGATTATTTATTTATTTTTATTTTATTAAGAATTTGCATTAAAAGAATATATTAAAATAAAAAAACTAAATAAAGGAAAGATCGAATCAGTCAAAAAAATAGAAAATGATAAATGCAGGTGAATTATAAATTATTATTTTGTAGAAGTATTTTAAAATTAACAAAAAATACAATATAAAATTAGAATATTTGTTAGCTCATTTCAAAAATATTAATCACAAACGAGGCTTTTGCTCAATATTTAATGGGGTACTATAAAGCTCTTCAATAGCTTTCTTGAAAACTTATCTTGCAATATGACGCTATAGCTTAAAGCTTGATGTTAAACAACCGTGGATTACTAAAGAGACAGGTTCTAAATATACTTTATGAGCTTACTCAAATGTGTGCAATCCTTCCTTTTTGCCTAGATCTGTGACGCTTTTTAAGTAGAACTAAGTGATTTGCTAATTTTTACAAAGGACTTCTAATTTAGTTTCACTGATATTCAACTCTTTAGCAATCTTTAGAATTTCTTCTGGCTTAGGAACTAATATTGCTACACAGTATCTTTAGAGGGAGTCTCCATGAACGAAAACTTCTTGCACACCTCTAGCTCTAACATAGATATTCTCAATCTTTTCTGGAGAAACGTATTCACCTTATTGCAACTTGAAGATGTTTTTCTTTCTATCGAAAACTCTCAAAGTACCGTTTGGCAAGATAAGACCAATATCTCCTGAATGGAGCCAACCTTCTTCATCAAAAGCTTCTGCAGTTTTTTCATCGTCTTTATAGTATCCAGCAAATACAGTATATCCTCTAATACAGATTTCACCTCTTGGCATAGGGTTTCCATTTTCATCTTTATCAGTTGAGAAGTAACCCATTTCAGGAACATCTTAAAGCTTTAATTCAGCACTTGCAACAATTCCTCCTACGTGATTCTATGTTGTGTCTAAGAACAATTCAACTGTTTCTAATCCGGTTCCTTCAGTTTGACCATAGCCTTGCTTAACGTAGCAGCTAAAAATGACACTCAAAAAATCAAGTACTCTCTAAGAGATTGGAGCAGAACCGCTTACTACAGCTCTTAATTTTCCTCCAAACATCTTCTTGAAATTGCTGAATATCTTTTCATCATAAACAGGGTGATGAACATTGAATTTTCCATCTTTTCTAAGATTTTACAACTTCTCATTTAGTGCTTTTTATATGGTTTCTCTTTGTGGTGAAGGCTAATTAGCAATGAAATAATTAATTTCATCATAGAATTTATTCAAAACTCTAGGGACACTAATAAGTACTGTGGGTTATGCTGCAGCTAAGTCTTCTCTTAGCTTAAGAGTATCTCCACCATAAAAGGCTATTTTAGCTCCTGTGAGCCAGCAAGTGCAGTTGACAAATCTCTCAAAAATGTGAGGCAAAGGCAAATAACTCATATGAGTGTCAGAATCGTTAAATCTAAAATCACAATTTTAATGTCCTCTAACGCAAGCAATAACATTTTTATGAGTTATCATAGCACCTTTAGGATTTCCAGTAGTGCCTGAAGTGTAACTGAAAGTAAAAATAGAAGCTCCAGGTATGTTTTTAGGCAAAGGAATTTTGCTAGATTTTCCTTTAAGAATGAGCTCTTAATAGCTAAGCACTCTTAAACCTTTTTTCTCCAAGGCTTAAATAAGTTCTGGTGAGTAGTCCTAATCTAAAGCGATAATATTCTTAAGGCTGTGCAATTCTTTTGTTTATGATAATATTTGCATAGATTAAGTAGAACAAATGCAAGTTGTAATGCCTGAATGACCCAAAACGAAGCTAACAGATTCAGGTCCTAAGGTATCATAGAGAGGAATCATGGTGTATCCATACAAGCCATTAGCCATATCGCAAATAGTCCATTCAGCCCTATTTTTGGCATAAATTCCAACCAATTTTAAAGTGCCATCAAAGTGTCTATCACTTTTGTCATAATACTTAAAATTTTTATATTCGTTTGTAATTTTAAGTAAATTCATGTTTTATAATGAGGAACCAATAGCTACGGCTTTCTCGTAAACTTATTCATAAGTTTCATATTCATAAACACCTGTTTTAGGGTTTCTTGTACCTAAAAAATTCTTTTTAGCGTTATTTTTGTATCCATGGTTAATCAGATCTTAAATATTATTAATACCAGGAAGAGGCTAATAAAGCAATTCCTAAACTCCTTCAGGGTTTCTCAAAGCATGTGTTGCATTGGGGAGCTTATCGCCAATAGGGAGGTTATAAATCCTTTGGGAATTAGTGGTCATTTTGGCTTTACAAAGAGAATTTTGATAGACGATTTTTCTTAAAAGCGTAAGGGATTTGCTAATTAAAATACCTATTTTATTAAATAGATTAATTCGATTTAGATTCTATTTTGTTTTATTTTTTTATGAATTTACCTAAAAGTTTTTAATAAGCAATAAGCAGCTCTCAATATCTTATCAGCACCTAGTGAAAAATAATCTTTCACCAAATTTCAAATCCCTATTTATCTCATGTTATTCACAAAAAGGAACTAATTTAGATTGCATCATCTTTCTCCCCTGCTGCGCATTTTTTGTGACGGATTTTTTATTTCAATTAGTATTTTTTTGATACCTTCATTTAATTTAAAGATTTTCTTGCAAATCTATATCATACTTATACCATCAAAGCTCATTCAAATAAAAAACACTATTGCGTATTAAAAATGTACCACATAATCCTATTTTTGTAATAAGTTATTCAAAACAATTCAATATAATTATTAGTAAACAAACGCTATAAATAATGAGAATAAATAGACAAAATAGAGATAAAATGATCCTTGAAAGCAAAAAAAAAAATAAGAAAATAAGTATTTTAAATATTAGCTAAATAAATGTCTTACAAAAACTAAGAAATTTAACATAGTTATTTTCAATAAACATTAATATTACATCGAATTTGCGTAAATCATTAGATAAATCTCTCTTAATAAATTGTCACATTTATTAATTAAAAATAACTTGAATTTGTGGACAGTAATAAATTAATTTATTTATAGATTCATGAGACTATGAATACATAAATTTTAATTAAAAATAAATGAAACTAGTAATCTCTTAGTTTAACGTTCCAGAAAATGACTGCTCTAAATTTACTTTAAAGTAAAGTTGTGGATTACTCTGATAATTCTATTTTACTATTTTTTAATCAATGCATAAAAAATAATCTAATGAAACCAAAATTAAATCCTTTGAAAATAGATAAAAGAATTAGAAGTATTTAAAGCCAACAATATTTTTGAATTAAATATTAGGATTTCAAACAAATTATTTATCATTAAAAAAACTACTAATTTAAATGAATGGACATTATATTTTTTCAATCAAATTATTTGAAATGATAAAAAAATAGAAGTGAATAAAAATTCAATAAAATGCAAACAAATTTTTTAATTTTTTTGTTTAAAAAAGGTATTAGTAGTTATAAAAATAGTAAGAAATCATAAAATTATCAGAATTAATTGATCGAACTAAAAGCAGAACATCATTAACTCATTCAGTGGAATATCATCAGTATTTTTGATTAATTAAATAATCACTACTTAGAATACTTTGATTTATAGTACAAATAATTTATTTCTAATTTTGAATTTAATTATAAGCAATATAGCCTAAACAACCAAACAAAAATGACTTAGAATTAACTAAGATAAATTCTCCCAAGCAATACACAGAAAGGCATCATAAAAATTATCTTAGTACAGCAAAATTGTTTATATTTTACAACTAGGGTTTGTTTTGTTTAATTAATTATACTTTAAAAAGCTTTTAAAAGAATTAAGTTTTCATAACCAAATCGATTTAGCGGAGATTATACTTTTTATGAATACTCATGAGTAAATAGCAATAAAAAACACATCAGTATAAGCCTTAGTATATTATGGATAGAATTACAGATAAATTTGTGTACTCTGTTAAGAATAATTTTAAGAATCCAATTTAAAATCATAACTTATAGCTAAATCTGATTCAAAATAATTGAAATCACTAAAAATAGGGTGAAAACAATTATAAAAAATATATGAAATTTCATATAAAATATTTTTGGAAGCAATGACAAAACAAGTACAATCAATAACATTTTTTTAAAAATGTTCGATAAATAAACAAAAATTTTTTGTTAAAAAAGATTCTTTCACAATTAGATATTAATTATTGATTAATATTGAAATTGATTCATTATATATCTTAATATTTGATATCAGTAATATAAGAAATGTGATAAATACTATTAAAATAAATAAATTTGATAAATTAAAATCAAACTCGACAAAAAAGTGTAAGTTAAAAAATTAAATATTATAATCAAAAGACTTTTTTGATTAATAGGTTCGATTGTTTGATAAGTTCATTAATAGACTAAAAACCATCCGATTTAAGAGTTTATGTTTTATTTTTTATTTGAAATTTTGAATATATTTCTGATCACTCAACTTTTTAAACAATGCCAACTTTAAAAAAAAATATAAATATTGATATGATTTTTCAATTTTAATCAATCTGAGATATCTATTTTCCAACTTCTTCTGTTTCACATTCAGGGAAATCTTCAAACGGATCTTAATTTTATAGTGAAGAACGACCTTTATTATATTAATCTTCATCATCACTTTCTTCGTTGTTGATTGATTGGTTCTGTTCTTCGTTTTATTCTTCGTTTCCTCTTAATTCTTTTGGTAATTTAGATGTTTCTTCTATCACCTAACTAAGTTGATACTGCATTTTCTTTTTGTAGTTCTTAGAAAAATATTTTTCTGAAGGGACTACTGAGTCATCATAGTATTCCACTTCAGAGTCGAACGAGAACTTATCTTCTCTGATTGAGTTTTATTATTAAATTTAAGATATTAAGCTTTGAGAATTACTATTATCATCTTATTTGCTCTAACTATCCTATTTGTCTTCTTTATATTACTCTAACGCAGGAAATGCCATGATATTCCAATGCAATTACTCTTCTTTTTATTACCTTTTAGGACTCTTTAAAAACAATAAAAAACTATTAAGTATAAAAAATTCCTTAAAAAAAATGAATAATTGTTTACTGGACTCATAACCATTTAAGATATATCTATATATTCTAATTTCAAAATATAAATATTCTCTAAGTTCATTGTTTTGTGTTTGCTAGGATTGTCATTATCAACAGTTTTACCACCAAATATATAAATTCTATTTATATATTAAGATTTTTAAGAAAATGAATTTACTAGAAATATTTATTGAAATTGGTTATACTTTTTTTGATTCTTAAAACTATTACCAAAAAAAGAATCTTTCTAAAATTTGATTGAAAGCTAATAAAATATTGATTAAATATTTATTAAAAATAAAAAGATTATTAATGAACCATCTACTCACTTATCTATAACCAATAAGAAATCCAATTGTAATTTAAAGAAATAAATAAAAATTATGAGAACTAAATATTATATTTAAATATTGCATAAATTACTCATTGTGTTCATTATTAACTGCGCTGTGCATCATTAAAGGAGGAATGCAACTATTTTAATTTTCTACTTCACTCCAATCATTTAGAATGTAATCGTGAATAAGGATCTTAATTTATAGTTTAAAAAATCTTTATTTGTTTATTTAATTGCATATTAATACTTGATTTGATATTTTATTTCCCTTGAGTAAACCTCCATAATACATTATTTTATCATGAATCCTTATTGCTGTGTGATATGCTCTTGGACTCGGATAAAAGAGGTCTTGTTTCTAATTTATTTTTCTCCAATTAAATACTTTAAGATCTAAAAAATAACAGTCATTATTGAGTTTATTATAGCCATGAATGCCTAAATAATTAATAAAATTCAATTTGTAACGTTTCATTATATTAAAGATAAAATTACCTCCAAATACCATTAATCCATAGGGTTATTAGATAAAAACACATGTGTGTCCTCTTCTTCCTTAAGGAATTTCTCCAGTTGTCTTCACATTATACCAATTCCATTCTATGTCATATTTTTAAATTATTATTTTCAATCATGAAAAATAACTTTTCTACAATTTCAAATCAAAAGTTTTCAGTAAAAAAAAAATTATTATTTGATTTAATTCACCACCAAAAATTAAAATGTAATTTAATTTTTTTTGAAAAAATGATTTTAAAAGAATAATTGTGTAGATTAATTTACTTGAATCAAGCATCCATAAATAATTGAACTCGTTGCAACCAAATTCAAATTTAAAAGGATCCCAACCTCCAAATAAAAATACAACATTTTTTACGAAATCGTAGACTAAAGTATGGTCTCTAACTCCTGGAGGAAATACTTTTTACAATGGAGACTTCTTAGTTTAAAGGATATTATGATTTGCTAGCACTTTTTATGGGTTTACAGTACCGCTATCTTGACTAATGTTGTTGATGTCGTTTGATATTAAGTTTTGAAGCTGGTTTTTAATTGGAGACTCATCTTTCATAAATAGAGTTCCGTCTAAAGTGGATTTTGTATTTTTGGTAGCTATTTATTCTGATTTTTTTTCTTGTTCTATATAAACACTCTATCTTACTTACTTATTTTAGATATTCATTACTGTTATTTAGTTAGTATAGCGCTCTCCATCCCATCCTCCAAACATCATTATGTTCGGTGAACAATGCTCAAAAGGAAAATGCAAGCATTTATGTCCTGTAAATTTAATTAAATCTTGGTTTTTTAGAACTATTCCTACATTTTGCCATTTCTTTTCAGCTTTTTTAAATATAAAAAATAGACAAACAATTTAACATTATTATCAACATTATTCTATATAAATAAATGAATCAATTTTTTTAAAAGAGAAATCATTTTTTTTCTTTCTTAGAAACTTTAAATAATATGGGAAAATTTATTTTAAAATGTATCTTAAATATTTTCATACTTAAATACTTAAGTATTTTTATTAAAAGCTTCAGTTGTTAAATTTATTTGGTATTGATTTGATAGATAATGAATAAGAGATATAAATACCATTTACTCATGTTCAAGATGAACGAATCGCTATGATCTATTTTACTATCGCTTCCGCCATGCACAAATATGCTGTCTTATCTTTCTATTAAGCAAGATATGTGATTGCTTCTAGGAGGAGGAATTTATCCTAATTAAAAAAATAATTTCTCATTAAATTATTTGCTTAAAAAATAATTGATTAATCATGCATGATAACCATACTTATTTAAATGTAAAAATTCAAAGAATCAGTAAAGTATCGAGCAAAAAAATTTATATTTTTTAGTTATTTACCTGTTGTTTGCACACGTATAGTTTTAATAACATAATCTACTTAAAGATGATTTTAGTTTTAATTGATTTCGCAAGTTAGTATTTTCTACATTTTTTGTATGTGTGTATATGTGAATGAATTTATCAACTTTTATATATATAAATATTAGTCTTTATTTATTTTTTATAAATATTTATCACTAAATTAATACTTGTTTGATTTCTTATTAGATTTTGATTAATTCATTCATTCATTCAAACAAACTAATTATTTAAAATCATTAATTTATTAATTAATGAATACTATTGTATTCATTCATATATGTATTTATAAAGTTTAATCTATAATTTAAAATTAATTGAGGAAAGCAATATTTAATCAATCAATCAATCAATCATATTTTAAAGCAAAGTAGAAATAACTAAAAGATTATTTGAAAATAGAAATGAATACTTTAATTCTAATGCTTTTTCAGTTAATAATAATATTAAATTTATTAGAAATAAATTTCTTAAAATTCTATTAATAGACAATTAAATTAAGCTACCATAAATTCTTAAATTGAATTAATTATAAATAATATCAATAATTTAATCAAAATATTTATTACTATACAAATAAATTAACAATTTTTAATATCTCTTAGGTGAAATATTAATAAAAATTTATAGTTTATAAGAATTTTTATTTTATGTAAATTAAAATAAATGTTAACTTATTAAAATAAGGTTATTATTCATTATGACAACGAATTAAATTTTAAAAATATTTTATAAAAGAATTTTATAGAACATTTAACAAACCAACTCACCATAATATTGCCTTTTTCTTTTTAACAATAATATTTGAAAATTTATTTATTAGTTTTTCCTTGTAAACTTTCTACATAACTTATCTAAAAGCTTTTTTGATTACAGAATTAAATAAAAATGCTTTAAAAGCTAATATAAAAATAGTAGTCATAAATATGTGCATAATTTAAAGAGATTATTAAATATTGTAATTATATTAAATGGTAAAACACTAGATTATTATTTTATTAAAAAATAAAAATTCTTGAGATTATCAAATATATTACAAATATGTTAAGTGATGAATTAATAACATTATTGAGCTTGTCATAAAAACTTAACTTTTATTCATGTTTAATTAGTAAGCTCTAATTTTAAGTCAATTAATTAATAGTTAATTAAAATTAAGTAAAATTAGGTAGGTATATTTTGAATGAAAAGCAATATGATAGGTGTGAAATCTAAAGCTTAAATAGTTCCTTTAGATAATTCTGAAATTAAAAATTTGAGAGAGGAGGTTATAAGAACAAAAATTATTGATGGAGGTAGCAACTAATAAAAACAATTTTTGTTGCAAGAGTAAAATTAAAAACCAAGTTAAATGGATTTACAATAACTGAATGTGCTAAAAGAATAAGAAGGATAGCATTTAGAGTAAATTCCAAATCAAATTAATTAAATATCTTAACTACATGCACTAAGATTTGTTTACATCAATCGATTTGCATAAAAGATTAAGCAGTATTCTTCCTACTACAGATTTACTCAAACAAAAAAGAGATTTTTACAGATTATAGGTGATTATGCATTTGATTACGATGTTTACTTCTACTAGCGAATTTTCAAACATGATGTAATTTCTGTTGCATAAAATCAGAAAATGTTAAAAATTTTTAAAATATTAATAGTAACCCAGCAGACTACAAATTATTATCAAAAATATTGAGGGTAATTAAATCAATTTACCATAATTTATTCAATAATTTTTTTATAATAAAATAATTGAAAAGCTTGGTTGGAAAGATAGATAACCACACTAGATTAAAAATCAGGAGCTATTATGTTACCAGTAAATAATTTTAATATTTAAAGTGAATTAACACCAATTAATTGATATTATAATTATTTTAAAACTTAGAGCTCTTCTGTAAATACGATTTGGAACTTAGTTTAATTTATCTTTGTGTTGATCTATATCATATATTTACCAATAAGACTGGCTTTTGACAGTTTACATAGATAGAAAGGATATTTTACAGTTTTAGAAGTTAGTCCAAATATCATCTAAATCATAAACATGTTCTTCGAGTTAAATACAGGTATTATTTTAATATTTATAGAATAATAAATTTTGATCATATATTTACTATTTATAATAATTTATTTAAAATTTAGGCTTTTATAGACATGGCTAAATTATTTTAGATAGATGGGAAATATGTTCTAACTATTTCAAATCAAGATTTATGTATAAATTAAGTATTTTAGTTGCAATATTGTTTAAAAATTTTTAAAAAATTATTATAAGATTTGATTTCGTCATAAATATTTGCTGGCTGATTTCTCTTAACCCTGATATTTCTGTTTGGGTCAAATGCTTTGGGCTTTTAAGGTTATTCACTTTATTTAGATTATTAAAAGAGTTAGATCAAGCTAACTTCCTCAAAGAAAAATATGGAAATATATTTGAACTGTTAAAACTAAGTGGCTGTATCTTTCTTTTTGCTCACTTAGCATGTTGTTGTTGGTATGCATTAGCAGTCTATGAAGATGATATAGGTATTTAAAATACCTGGCTTAAAAAGGACATATAAAACTATGAATTAGATCTTAATCTTAATTTAAAACTCTAAGGATATGTTGCTGGAATATATTACTGTATAGTTACTATGACCACAATAGGATTTGGTGACATATCTCCTATTACATACAGAGAAAGGATTTTTACACTTATTTTCTGTATTTTATCTTGCTTCTTATTTGCCTTTACTATGGGATCAATAGGTAATAAATAAATAATAAATAAACTAATTAATAATAGAATAAATAAACAAACAAATAAACGAATGAAGACGAACAAAAGAACAAGCAAGCAAACAAACAAACAAACAAACAAACAAACAAACAAACAAACAAACAAACAAACAAACGAACAAACAAACAAACAAAAAACAAACAAACAAACAAATAATTAAATAAACAAATATACATTTGTTTTAAAAAGTGAAAAATGTTTTATCAGTAATTTTAATATTTTCTAAAGAATTATTATTTTATGGAAAGATAAAATTTTTAATAATATTTATTTTAGGTGAGATTGTTAAATAGTTTTCATTGAAGGGAGAGGAGTTTAAATAAAAGATGGAAATGCTGAACCACTATATGAAGAAGAGAAATTTGAGTTAGAATCTTTAGGTTAGAGTTAGAAAATATTATGAAAATCAAAATTAAGAATCATCCGAAGATAATGAATGTGGGTCTAAATTGATAGATAATCTCACTCCTGAATTAAGAGAAGATGTTTAAAAAGATATTTATTCGTTTCTTTTTAAAAATATTAGCTTTTTCTAAATAAACTTTTCTGAGAGACTTATTCAAAATATCTACAGGATAGTAGAAGAAAAACAATTTTAAATAGATGAAAAAATATTTGAAGAAGGTTAAAAATCGGACAAATTATATGTTATCATCAAGGGGCAAGGTAACTAACTAACAACTAAAATAAATGTTTATATATAAAATCTAATTTATTAATATAGTTTAACTTTTGCTTCAAAATAGACATAGTATAGTTACAAAGAGGGAAGGTGAAGTTCTGGGATTTGCAGAGTTCTTTTCGTAACAACCTTTTTAATTTTCTGCAAAGGCAAGCAGAAATACTTAAGTTGCAGTTATTAAATATGATGACTTTATTAAACTTACATCAGAAAATTAGCACGATAATGTAATTTATATTTTTAATTTTTATAATCAAATATTAAATGAATGTATTTGTTTTTTATTTTGGAAAAGGAAGTATAATTCTAAATCAAAGATACTATTCTGCTTAATAATGAATTATGCTCTATTTAAGGTATTATTTGTGAAAGTTGTGGTTAGACTGACCACATCTTTTAAAATTGCCAAATAGTAATTCACAATCAAAAGTATAAGAAGAACGCAGTTTAGTAGAACAAGCGAAAGCAAATAACTAGATAGGAGTGGCTCAGAAGGACACAGAGCTACTAAGCGCTTGTTAATAGATAACTTATAGAAATAAGAGCATTAGAGTAAACAGAAGATTCTGAATAAGAAAAAAAAACTAACAGTAAAATAAATTGCTTATAGTTTTTAAAAAATATTTTGTTTAAAAAATTACATAAATAGATGATTTTCTTCATACTCAATTCACAGTAAATAATATATCTATGAAGACATTAAATGCTTTAGGTATTAGCGAGGGTGAATGCATAAAAGAAGAAGAAGAATAAGTAGGAGTATAAGATTGGAACTTTAAATAAATTGAAAACTTAGCTGATGATTCAAAAGTAAATCATGAAATTGAAGAGTAAAAATTTGTAAATTAAAATTATGATCCCTTTACGAAAGAGAGGTCAGAAGGGATTTTTAAATTTTAGTCAAGAAAAATATAAAAAAATGTTATTAAACTTCCTAGTATCACTCAAGTTTAGTAGATGATTTTTCCTAAAACTTTAGAAGAAATAAATTAAGATATTTTAGTCTCAAATTAAAAACTATAGTATTTAACTTCTTAAAGAAAATATTCTGTAAATTTAACTCTTAAAACCAGTAGATAATAGCATAACAGAAATCCTTATGGATAGATATTATCTAAGCAAACAACTTTAGATGATTTAAAAAGATAGATTAATGAAGAAATGTAAAAATAACATCAACATTCACCAATATAAAAAACAGTTATTAGTGCTATGAATGAACAAGAAAATGTAGAAAATTACAATTTTGAAATAAAGTTCGATTTAATGAATTTATTTAAATACTATCTTGTTCATAATAATTATGACACAGTCTTAAATCAATTCAATCAGATTATTGAAAAAAATAAAATCTATCAAGAACTTGTGTTAAAATCAAGAAGAAAAAGGCAGCAACAAGAATAAACAAAAGTAAACATTCAAAAATAAAGAAAATAAACCTATAAGAGAATTCCTACTTCTTAAAAATTTTATTTAATGAAGCAGAGAAACTAGAGAATGTCTACTACAGAATAATCTTTTTTACTGTCTTGTAATTAAGCAACAACGTAAAGATCAAATATAGAATGAATTAAATACCATAATACATAATATCTGTGTTAGTCAAGTAGATTATATTGATTCAAAAAATTTTTAAACACTAAATTTATCTCAATAAAATTAAAAAAAACAATTTATTAATTGAAGCAACTAGGTATTTATAATTATTTAAAAACATACTTTAGTTGATACAAAATAAATAATTTGATAGTAATGTTTGTTTTTTATTTAAATTTATATTGATAAATTTATAATTCTTCATTCAAATATTCAACTTAATTTTAACTATTTATTTTTTAACAATTTAATTAATAAAATTATTAAGAATAAAAGAAAGGCAAAAAATAATAATATTAATTAGGTAAGCCATTAATTGACTTATTTACTCGAATTTTTAAATAGGATTATGAAATATATCTAAAAAAAATAAATCGATGTGATGAAACAAAAAGAAAAGGATATAAGTAAGAAAATTAATTAATAGATAAATAACCAGATAGATAGACTATTTTTTTTAATATATTAAATTAGCTTGAATTTCATAATAAAATAACTTAATATTAATCAAGTTTCAATAAACAAACATTAATTATATTTTTAAGAATTATCAACTAATAAAAGTCTAATTTGATTAGTGTTATTATTAAATTAGTTATTTAGTTTCATAATTAATATGATAGGAACAAAATCAAAAGCTTAAATAGCTCCTTCAGATTATACTGAAGTATAGAATTTAAAAGAAGAGGTAGGGCTAGTAAAGATATGCGATCGAGATGATAGCTAATAAAAGTAAATTTTATCTGAAGAGTCAAATTAAAAACCAGATGATATGGATTTACAAAAATTTAATCTGCGAAAAGAATAGGAAGAGTAGTGTTTGCAATAAAGATCAACAAGCTTTAACTTATTTTCTTAATTGCACAATAAAAGATTTCTTTACATTAATCGATTTGCAAATAAGATTAAGTAGTACTCTTCTTATCACAGATTTACAGAAACGAAAAAGAGATTTTTATAGATTATAGATGATTATGCATTTGATTATGATGTTTATTTCTACAAACGAATTTTCAAAAATAATGTAACAAATCTTGATTTTAACAAATAATTAAAGTTAAAATATTCTAAAATATAAATAGTAACCTACAAGATTGTAGATTATTATCAAAAAAATAGAGAGTAATTGTTATTAATTTTGTAAAAATTAGATTAACATTTTTTTTAAATATATTAAATAAAAGCTTGGTTTGTTAGATCAATAGCAACACTAGATCAAAAATCAGGAGCTATCATGTTGCCAGTATTTTAATAAATAAATATTTTAATAGATAATTTAAATAAAATGCATAAAATATTACTTGGTTGACATTATAATTATTTAAAAACTTAGAGCTCATATGTAAACACGATATGGAACATAATTTAATTTATCTTTTTGTTAATCTACATCGTATATCTACCAATTAGATTGGCTTTTGATAGTTTGCATGAATAAAAAGGATATTTTACAGTCTTTGAAGTTATTCCAAATATTATTCAGATCATAAATATGTTCTTGGAGTTCAATACAGGTATTATTTTACACCATTTAATAATAATAATAGTTTATTAATCAATCATATGATTCAATTTAATTACATATTATTTAGGCTTTTACAGACATGGTTAAATCATTTTAGATAGATGGGAAATATGTGTTAACTATTTCAAATCTAGATTCATGTATTAAATAAGTTTATGACATACAATAATATATATTAATATATTTTAAATTATTTATTAGATTTGATTTAACATTAAATATTTGTTGGTTGATTTCGCTAAATCCTGATGTCTCTCTTTGGGTCAAATGTGTTGGTTTATTCAGATTAATAACTTTAATCAGGCTAACTGAAGATTTAGAACAAGCTAACTCACTTAGAGAGAGATATGGAAATATATTTGAACTACTTAAATTAAGTAGTTTTATTTTTCTTTGTGCTCACTTGGCATGTTGTTGTTGGTACGCTCTAGCTGTCCATGAAGAAGACATAGATGTATAAAATACATGGCTTAAAAAGGACATTTAAAGTTATGAACTTGATCCAAATGTTAATTTAAAACTCTAAGGATATATTGCTGGTATGTATTACTGCATAGTAACTATGACCACAATAGGTTATGGTGATATTACTCCAACTACTTATAGAGAAAGAATTTTTGCACTAATTTTCTGCATTTTGTCTTGCTTTTTATTTGCTTTTACTATGGGATCAATAGGTAGTCAATATATAAAATTCATATATATTATAATATGATCAGTAGAATTCTTACATAATATAAAATGATCAATAGATAATATGCATATTATAAAACGATCAATCATACATATTATATAGCGATCAATAGAATTCATTAATATTATAAAGCAATCAATAGAATTGATACTTATAATTAAGATCAATAAAATTGATACATGTTATAAAGCAATCAATTAAATTCATAGATATTATAAAGCAATAAATAAAATTCAGCGATTTTATTAAATGGTATTTTATTTATAAAATATATTACAGGAGAAATAGTTAAATAGTTCTCTCTGAAGGGAGAAGAGTTTAAGCAAAAGATGGAGATGCTCAATTTGTACATGAAAAAGAGAAATTTAAGTTCAAATCTATAGGTCAGAGTGAGAAAATATTATGAAAACTAAAATTAAGAATCATCTGAAAACAATGAATTTGGATCTAAATTAATAGACAGTCTTACAACTGAGTTGAGAGAAGATGTTCAAAAAGATATATATTCATTTCTATTCAAAAATATTAGCTTTTTCTCATAAAATTTTTCTGAAAGACTAATATAAAATATGTATACGATAGTGGAAGAAAAGCAATTTTAAATAGATGAAAAGATATTTGAAGAAGGTTAAAAATCAGACAAATTATATGTCATCATAAAGGGATAAGGTAATGTTAAATTTTTTTTTAAATATTAAATTAAGCTTGCTTTAACATTTAGTTTAACTTGTGCTTCAAAACAGACATAGTCTTATGACAATGAGTGAAGGAGAAGTCTTAGGTTTATCTGAATTCTTTTCTCAGTAGCCTTATTAATTTTCTGCAAAAACGAGCAGAAACACTTAATTTGCTATCATTAGATATGAAGATTTTATAAAACTAGCAGCTGAACATTAACATGATTATGTATTTAATATTTTTTAAATAGTTAAGTTAATTTTAAGATAACATTTTTAAAAAGGAAAGTTATTGTCAAATAAAAGATACAATTTTGCTCAATAATGAATTAAACAAGATTTAAGGTGTTACTTGCGAAAGTTGTGGTTAGACTGACCATATTTTTTAAAATTGCCAAATGATTAGTCTCAACTAAAATTACAAGAATAATGCAGTTGAGCAGAATAAACGAAAGCAAATCACGAGATAGGAATGGTTCAGAAGGACAAAAAGCTACCAAGCACTAATTAACAGATAGTTAATAGAAATAAGAGCACTAGAATAAACAGATGATACAGAATTACGAAAAAGATTTGATTGTAAAAAATATTTTGTTTTTTGAAATTGAAAAATATGCTAAATAATATTAAAAAAGCTGAATTTCTTGAAAGACAATAAACAGGAAAAGATTTATCCATGAGAAGCTCACATGTGTTAAATGACAATTAAGGTATTGATGAAATAGAAGAAGGGAACCTTAAATTAATTGAGAACATGGGAGATGATTACCATTCTGTTGAAGAAATTTAAGAATATCAGTTAGTAAATTAAAATTAAGACAACTTTTAGAAAGAAAAATCAGAAGAGAATATTTAAGAGCAATCAACTAAAATTTAAATAAATACAATTAAACTACCTAGTATTCCTCAAAATTAATAGATGAGATAACTAAATACCATTGAAGAAATCAACCAAGAAATTCAAAACAACACTCAAACAACTTAAGTGTAAAAATAGTCCTAGATCACCCAAAGAAAAAAGTCTATTAATCTAACTCTTAAAGCTAGTAAGCAATAACATAACAAAAATAATAAAGGATATTAATTTTCTAAGTAAACGACCTTAGACGATTTAAAAAAGTAGATAAATGAAGAAATGTAAAAAAAGCATCATAGCTCATCTATTTAAAAAACAATTATAAGTGCTTTTAATGATCAAGAAAATGTAGAAAATTACAATTTTGATATAAAATTTGATTTAATGAGTTCATATAAGTACTATCTTGTTCATAACAACTATACAATAGTTTTAAGCTAATTTAATTAAATGATTGAAAAAAACAAAATTTATCAGTAACTTATTCTAAAGTCTAGAAGAAAAAATAAATAAAAAGAATAAACAAATATTAAATTGTAAAAACAAAGGCAATAAACCTACAAGAAAATTCCTACCTCATAAAAATTCTATTTAATGAAACAGAGAAACACGAGATTGTCTTACGAGCAATCTTGCTTACTTTCATAGTATTAAGAAAATACTTAAAGAACTAGTAAAGAATGAAGCAAATATACAAAAATAATATAATAATTTTTTAATAATTTATTTTTTTTACTACTTTTATTTACCGATTGTTGTTTTGTTTATTAAGGGTGTCTAATAATTTATATCCAGTTGAATAAAATTCTTAGAACTGAAATTTGATAAATTTTATTTTCTTTCATATGTATTATATCAAACATCCTTTATCTTTTTTAATTTATCTTTCTTATTTATTCTGCTTGTGCCTTTTTTTCTTTCTTTCTTTTTTAATTTAATTACTTTTTTCATTTTCAACTTTTATTATTATTATTAATTAATAAATTAATTAATTTCTTTTTATTTGATTATTTTTTCATATTTTCCTTCTAATTAATTTATTTTATTTTTTTTCTTTAATATTTAAAAAGAGAAAATAAAAATTTATGATCAAGGTGAATCAGGTTTAGGTTTTTCTTAACAAAAAGCACTAATCTCTCATATTTGTCATATTTTGTACATAATCTTAAGTAAAAACAGTTTATTTTTTTTCTAGGCTAAAAACAATTATTTGTTTTGGATTATAATATGTTTTAATGTGAAAATAAATTTAAATCAACATGACTAACTAACTCTTTTTATTTTTTCATTAGATTTTTATTAAATTTTTTATTTTTTTATTTTCTATTCTGATAATGTTTTTTTAGCAATTTTCATTAAATTATATTAGAAATGTTAAAAAATGTTTCCATTGATAAATAAGTGGTGAAAATATGATGAATAAATAAATATTAAATATTTGGATATTAGAATATAATGTGTTTTATTTTATAATATTTTGTAATAAGATAGTTTCATCTAATATTTAGATTGATTTATTATTACTTTTAATTTATAAAATTCATTTTTTTTTTTTGAGAAGGGGAGAGGGGAAAATCACAGCAGGGTATAAAAAATGAATGAAAAATATGATTTTTTTAGAAAGTATCTTTAATTATTAAAACATTTTCGTTATATTCCCTTAGACTTTTAGGAAATAAAATAATAATTAATTTATAGTTTAAAATAAAAAAAATGGATTTTGTGGAGGATAGTCAAAAAATAACATAAAAATTACAAATTAAAAGCAAATAACTTCTTATTATATTTAATATTTTTCAGAATTAATTGAATTTTATGCTAATATTTATGATAATAATCATAAACATAAAAAAACAAAAACTAAATTTTATGAAAAAGAAAAAAAGCTGCTTTTAATTAAATAATAATAATAATTATTATGATTATGATTGGTGATTTAAATAGATTCAGTAAATAAATAACTGTACACTAATTGAAACTATTCTTTAATAACACTTAAGAAACAAAATAATAAATTAATCATTAATCATTAAATAAAGCAAGCTTAAAAATATTAGTTAGAATTGAATTGATTTCCTTTATCTCTCATTTAATTTAATAAACTTACATAAAAACAACATTTTTATATAATAAATTTTTATTATTAGCATATTTGAATTCAACTATCCATAAATAGAAGATTTATTTGTTGGTTGGTTTATCTTCCTCGAAATATTTGTGACTAATATTTTACGGCTAATTCAGTATCAGTAAAAACGATATGATTTGAATATGAAAGTCTTTAAAGATTCAAGAAAGATAAATCAATTTTGTTTTCTAACGCAAAGTTTACTAAATTTCTTTAACATAATACACAATTAATAAATAGAATGTTAAAACTTTTAGTTAATTAATTTTAATTAATTAATTAATTATTAGTTTAAGTGTTAGCTAAATATTAGTAAAGAACTCATTCGAATATTTAAAAATTAACATGATTAGAGCAAAGTCAAGAGTTTAAATTGCTCCTTCTGATCAAACAGATTTGAAGGAAGATAGTAGACAAGTTAAGATGGTAGAAAGAGATGAAAATTAATAGAAGTTAATGCTATCTGATTTTTCAAATTAAAAAGGAAGCGATTATGAATTCTAATAGCTAAATGCTCCAAAAGAATCAAAGAATCAGTGTTTGTAAGACAATACAATCAAAATGAGTTTTTACAACAATATGATTTTCAGCAGGAGATTCTTTTATATAAAGCGCTTCATAAAAATAATAAAGTCGCATTCTACTTATTACAGATTTACTCAAACTAGAAAGCGATTCTTACAGATTATTGATGATTATGCATTTGATTATGATGTTTATTTCTACAAGAGAATTTTCTAAAATGAGGTAGATTTATTTAAAGACACATAAAGGAATAAATCTCAAATAAATTTTAAAATAAAAACAGCAGCCTACAAGATTGCAGTTTATTATGAAAAAAATGGAGAGTAAACAAATCTTTTAATAATTAATTATTGACATTTTTTCTTATAATAACAATTTAATGATTAGATTGGTTTGTTAAAAGGATACATCCTTTAGATCAAAAATCAGGAGCTATAATCTTACCAGTATTTATTTGAAACAAATTGTTCATCATTAAATAAATTAAAATGATTTATTATTTATTTCTAATAGAGTTCTTATGTTAATAGAATTTGGAATATCATTTAATTTGTATCTCTACTAATATATATCATATATCTGCCAGTGAGATTAGCTTTTGATAGTCTTTATCAAAATTAAGACTGCTTTACTGCGTTTGAAGTTTTACCAAATGTCATCCAAATTATTAATATGGTGTTAGAGTTCAACATAGGTAATAATATTTAAACAAAGCAATAAATTGTTACATTATTTTATATAGGATTTTATAAGCATGGATAGATTATTTTGGATAGGTGGGAAATATGTAAAAATTATTTATCAAAGAAATTCATGTAAAAATAAATAAAAGAAAAGTGCTATTTTTTACCAAGATATTCTTTTAAAATAAATAGATTTAATTTAGTCTTAAATACTTTCTGGTTGATTTCTTTGCATTCTGGTGTGTCAATTTGGTTAAAGTGCTTTGGACTGGTTCATATTTTTTCATTGATTCAGCTAACAAAGGAGTTAGAGCAGGCGAATTCTCTTAGAGAAACGTATGGAAATGTTTTTGAACTCTTAAAGTTAAGCGGTTTTATTTTTCTTTGTGCTCATCTCGCATGTTGTTGTTGGTATGCACTTGCTGTTTATGAATAAGGTATTGGCATAGCTAATTCATGGCTTACAAAGGACATTTAGACCTACGAAACAGATTTAGATATCAATGAAAAACTTCAAGGATATATTGCTGGAATTTATTACTGTATACTCACAATGACTACAATAGGATATGGTGACATCACACCTTACACATTCAGAGAAAGGATTTTTGCTTTAGTTTTTTGTGTTTTGTCCTGTTTCTTATTTGCATTTACAATGGGATCGATAGGTAATATAATAATCAAATATAATTTTGAATGTTTTTGAAGTGCTTCATAATAAAATTAATTTTAATTTAATTATTTATTTGTCAAAATATTATTTTTATTTTTTATTTATTTATTTATTTACAGGCGAAATTCTTAAATAGTTCTCTTTGAAGGGAGAAGAATTTAAATAAAAAATGGAAATGCTTAATCACTACATGAAAAAGAGAAATTTAAGCACCGATTTATAAGTCAGAGTTAGAAAATTTTATGAAAACTAGAATGTTGAATAATCTGAAAATAATGAGCATGGGTCTAAATTAATTGACAATCTGACTCCAGAATTGAGAGAAGATGTCTAAAAAGATATTTATTAGCACCTCTTCAAAAATATAAGTTTCTTTTAAAAAAATTTTTCAGAAAGACTGATCTAGAATATCTACAGAATAGTGGAAGAAAAACAATTTTAGAGTGATGAAAAGATATTTGAGGAAGGTCAAAAATCAAATAAACTCTATGTAATCATAAAGGGCTAAGGTAATATTTAATATATAAATTAAGCAAATTAGAAATAATTTATTTTCTTAACAGTTTAAATTGTGTTATAGGGTAGACATACTCTAAAAACTTTGCGTGAAGGTGAAGTTTTAGGTTTGTCTGAGTTCTTTTCTTAGCAACCTTATCCATTTTCTGCAAAGGCAAGTAGAAATACTTAATTCGCTATTATAAAATATGATGATTTTATTAAACTTGCAGCAGAGCACAAATAAGATCAAGTATTTATTATTTTGTATTAATAATAAAATTAAAAGATATTCTTATTAGGAAATATATTGCAAAATCAAAGACCTAATCTTGCTTAACAATAGCTTAAATTAAATAGAAGGAATAGCTTGCGAAAGCTGTGGCTAGACAGATCATATTTTTTAAAATTGTCAAATGATCAGTCTCAACTAAAATTATAAAAAAAATGCTGTAGAGCAGAATAAAAGAAAGTAAATCACCAGATAGGAATGGGTGAGGAGAACATAAAGTTATTAAGCTCTTATAAATAAATAACTGATTGAAATAAGAGCATTTGAGCTTACTGTAGAAATAGATCAAGAACAAAAAAGAAAATGTAAAATTAGTTTTATTTTTTTTATTTTATTTATTTCTTTGTTTATAATTTTTTTAAATAACAAATAATAGCTATTCTACCAAATTAAGCATTTGCTGGAAAAGAAATATCAAGTAAAAATTCGTTAGGATTTGAATTAAATGATAAAAAATCATTTGATTAAATTGAGGAGGATTCAAATAATTTATTTGATGATTTGGGTGTAGAATCTAGTTTTGAAAATGAATCAGAAGAAGAGAATGTGATTGAAAGCTTAAATAACATTTAAAAAGAATATTCTTTAGAAAATACTATAAATCAATAAAAAAACTAAAACACTTTGAATGTACCAAGTATTGTTTTAAATTAATATACAAAATATTCAAATAAGAATGAAGAAGTAAATAAAGAAAATATTTCCTCTAATTAAAAGTTAAATCCATAAAACCTAAGAAAAAAATAAGCTAGTTTAACTTTTAAATAAAACAAGTAGTAATTTATAAGCAGTCCGAAAGGCGATTCAAAGCATAGATAAACAATCTTAGATAACTTAAAGAGATAAGTTAATGATGAACTGTAGCAAAAATATAACATAATTGTATAAAAGACAGTAATATCAGCTGAAAATGATTACAAAATTAAGAACGAGAAAGAAGAGATAGAAAATTATAATTTTGAAATGCAATTTGATTAGATGAGTTTGTTTAAATTTTATCTCGTTCATAATAACTATGATATTGTTTTAAACTAGTTTAATCAGATAGTTAATAAAAATCAACTCTATCAATAGCTCATAATTAAATCTTAAAGAAAAAAATATATAAAGGATTAAACTTTGAAACGACAAAAGCAAAGAGAACTAGCCTATAAGAAAGTTCCAACATCTTAAAAATATTACTTAATGAAACAAAGAAATTCAAGATTTATTAAAGATTAAATTCAATTTTTTTAAAAAATTGAAGAAAACTTCTAATAACCTATCAAAGAATGAAAATAAATTCTTCAAAAAAATTAGCTTTAATTTGTTAATTGAAAATTATTTATAACCATTTATAATTTTATAATCTAAATATATTTGTCTTTGTTATATTTATTAAAAAAATATTTCAAGCCATCAAAAATAAAATAATATTTTATTTTCCCAAAATTAATCAGTTAATATTGTTTAAAATATTAAATAAAAGGTTATTAAAAAATGATTTAACGGATGCATAAACAAATAAATATTAATTTTTTAGATTTATTGAGTATTATTTTAATTTTTAATTAATAATTAAAAAAGAATATTAAGTATATGTTTATGAAATATTGAATAGATAAATATAATATTATATTATTTCCGTTTAAATAAAGTAAATTTTCTCAGTGGTTTTGTTTATTAAAATAAGCTTTTTCATTTTTATTGTTTTTTCAAAGTAGCATTAGTTTTTCAGAATTTGTAGGGAGGAATAGTGATCAAGTTTTCAGGAGGGCAATCAGAAGAAGGGGGAATACCTCTAGAAGCAGTGTATGGGAGCTTTCTAGGAACCATCTTAATTGCATTTTCGACAGGGCATGAAGCAACACATATAGCACAACCTGTGCAATCTTCTTCAATAATTCTAGGTACATTATTGTAACCATCGAATTAGATAGCTTGATAACCAGAGTCAGAGCATGCAACATAGCATCTACCACATTCTAAGCAGCTGTCTTTGCTAATTTCTGGTACTTGGATGATTTCTTTTGACATCTTTTCGATAGGAGAAACCTTGGCAAGCTTAGCACCTACGATTTCAAGGATTTTAGGTACTTTCTAGGGAGTTTCAACAGAAGTAGGTGTTTTAAGTTTTTCAAATTGATAAGGGGGATATTAACCTTTCCATCCATTTTTCTTAAGTTTTTGGCTTGAGTTTGCGTACATGTTGGCTTGAAGACTTGTTTTTAAATCATAGAAAACTGTAGCAGCATCTAAATTTTGAACAGCAGAGCAGATTTGAAGGGCCTTTGCACCATAGTGGAGATAGTTTATACCATGGTCACCGGAGATGATACCACCAGAAGCAAAGATATCTATTTCAGGGACGAATTTAGCAACATCAACACATTTTCTCATGGCAAAAGGTCTTAAAATAGAACCAGTTGAACCACCAGGAGCAACATTTTTTTCAACACCAACCCCATTGAAGGATTCACCATCTGGATAAGGATCAACAAGACCAGGCATAGTGTTTGTCAAAGTGACAGCCTTGGCACCACCTTCGTAAGCAGCCTTAGCTAAGATTTCTGCTTAACCATAATTTGGTGTGATTTTGACAATGATAGGGATCTTTGTTTGGCTGGTGACCCAAGAAGTAATATCTCTTACGATATCAGGATCTTCACCACAAGCACGACCCATACCCTTTTCGTTCATACCATGAGGACAAGATAAATTCAATTCGATCATATCGAAAGGAGCATCTTTAACTTGATGCATAATGTCAATCCAATCTTATTAATTGTATGCTGCCATCAAGGAACCTATTAAAACCTTATTTGGGTAATCCTTTTTAATTTGCTTAGCACCTTCAACCCAGTACTTTAATGATTTTTCAGAGACCAATTCGATATTACCATAGCTGCATTCTTGTCTGAGAGGATCAGGTACTTTGAAGATACGAGGAGAAACATTGAATACAGTGTCCTTATCTAAGACAGCAGTCTTTACAACTGCAAAGTCATAACCAATATCGAAAGAACGGGCAATCATAGGATAAGAAGTAGTGGGTGGGGCAGAAGCTAAACCGAAAGGATTTTCCATCTTGACTCCACAAATTTCAGTAGAAATATCAACATCATCAATTTCTGTGTAAAATCCGGGTAATTCAGGGGTTTCAGGTACCTTTTAACCATGCTTTTCCTAAATGTATTTGTGCATATACCAAGAAGCTGTTTTACCATCATTAACGGCATCGACTAAGTTCTTTGTTCCTACGGCATCACCACCTACAAACATCCATTCGTAGGCCTTGGTCTATTGAGTGTCAGTGTTAATGTCTAATAAAGTATCAGATTTTTTCAATTTCTAGACCCACTATTCATCTGGAAGAACGCAACCGAAGGATTGGACAACATGATCACAAGGAAGTGAGAATATTTGGTTGGTATTTTTGTATTTAAGGTTGTCATTATCATTGTTTTGGGGAAGATTCTTATCAAATTTTACAGCTTTTATTTGTCCATTTGAGTCGAATTCGTATTCTAATGGTGAGGCATAAGCTACAAAGTTAATACCTTCATATCTAGCAGGTTCGAAGATTTCATCGTTAGCTCTGAGATCTTGGAAACCTCTTCTGAATGCTACGGTGACTCTTTTAGCTCCAAGTCTGAAGGCAGATCTTGCACAATCTAAAGCAGTATCACCAATACCAAGGACGACAACATGTCCATCAAGTTTGGGAGCATCGATAAGTTCTTCTTATTGGTTACCTCCCTTTTTGATAGCAGAACCTACCTAGGTCAAGAAGTGCTTGGAATAGTGGAAGTTACTGGCCTAACGAGCTCTTTCAGCGCTTAAAGCGAATTCTTTTGAAGTACCTTTAACACCAGTATTTGGATCAGAAAGACCAATACCTAAAAAGACAGATTCAAATCCTTGAGATTTGAGATCTTCGAGTGAGAAATCTCTTCCAAGAGCCTTGTTGTAGTGAATCTTAACTCCAAGCTATTCAACCATTTCTACTTCCCAAAGGGCTTCTTCGATAGGAGCTCTGTTTTGGGGGATTTCATTAGATGTAATACCACCACCACGGCTAGCTTTTTCAAAAATGTGGACATTTTCATAACCCATACGTCCAAGGAAGGTAGCACAACTCAAAGAGGCAGGTCCAGCACCAATAATGGCAATGGGAGCCTTGTAAGAGTTGGGAAGATTCTTTCTAGTAGGGTCACGTATTTGCTTAACACCCATTTCTTTGAATATTCTTACTGCAAGTTCTTAGAGTCTGTTAATTTTAATGGCACCTTATTCAGTATGGCTGACATTGCAATTTCTTGCACAAAGCTCGCTGATTGGGCAGAGTTGACCGCAGGTTAAACCGAGGGGGTTATCAGACAAAATGCATTTAGCAGCTCCATACCAGTTCTTATTTTGGATGCAGTAAATGAAAGTCTTAATATCTATGGAAGTAGAACAACCCTTTTAGCAAGGAGCATCGTTGCATTTCAAACAACGGTTAGCTTCACGGACAGCTTCTTGAATGGTCATGAGAGGAATATCTCTTTCCCAGCTACCACATTTATGACATCCGTTACAGTGAGGGGTTTTGTCATGAGCTTCAGAGTAGGCCTCTCTTTCTTTAGTAGGACGAAGAGTAGGTTTAGAAATTTAGGTCTACATCATGTTCATGACCTTAGATTCGATTTCTTCACCAAATTTGTGCAAGGAGTTGACGTTGCAAGCACCAAACATTCTGAGCGCCTTTGTGTTGTTGGACTTAAATAGCACATTGCTTCCCTTTCTTAAAACCTTTGATAACATCTTGTTGTCTGTCTTCTTAAAACCTAATTATTTATTTATAAGCTAATAATTAATTAAAGCTAACTTTGTTTTGTTGTTTCTATTTATTTTTTAATAAATTATGTTTGTTTGTTTTTTTTTATTATCTTTTTTTAAAGAGAAATCTTTTTTGATACACAGTTTCAATCAACACTTATCATTTTTTGTTTTTGGTAACGTGTTTTTACTTTTTTTTTGGGCACCAATTTTCAAAATTAAAGTTGATATAGGCGAATATCTTATTTCAAGCTATTGGTTGAGAGTATTATTTTTTTTGAGTCATCTACAAAAAGGATTTAGGTGAAAACTGACGCAGAATTAGTTTTAATTTGTTTATTTTTTGTGTCTAAAGCTCATTTATCTAAATTTTACTATTTTCTTTCTATTTCAAGCATCCACGACGACGGCTTTTTAAAAAACAACTTTTTCTAAAATTCTGCCTTTGAAATTTTTAAATCCAATGGAATTCATTTCCACATAAATTTCTAAATTTATTTATCTGTCTATCTAGATTGAATCAGTAGAAATTTGCTTTTTTGTAAGAAAATAATAAAAAACAATTAATAAAAATTAAGATATAAATTTAGTCCACCTAAAAACCTATTTTCAAATATTTTTGTATTTTTATGAATGTTAATTATTCAAATAGATTTATTAAAGCAGTCTCGTTAGTATTTGTGATAAAAGAAATCTAATCATCAACTTATTGGTGATTTTGTAATTAATTAAAAGCATCATAATTGCACATCTAATTTTTCTCATCATCACAAAAAAAAAAAAATTAGATAAATTGACAACAAATACCCATGCAAATTTGATATTTTTATCTATTAATTAATTTAATCAATCAGAAATCTACAATTAATTAATTGATATATTTATTTATTCTTTAGTATCTGCTAACTTATTTTTCTTAACAAAAAAAATCCTTACTAAATTAAAGCATAGATTTTCTCCAGGTTATGTGGTTACTTAATAAAAAAGAGTCTCAAAATAACTGAAAAACTTGTAAGCTTATTGAGTTGATTTAAAAAAAAAAAATAAAGCAAAATGATATTTTAAAAATGGGTATAAAATAATTCTAAAATTTTTAATGCAAAATTTATTTTATTTGCTTTATATTTTTATTATTATGAGAAAAAGTTATAACAATTGTCTAAAGAGAAAATAAAAATTTTCCCTTTCCTATTCTAATTATTAATTTATACTTTAGTAACTATTTTTAAAAATCTTTTATAGCCTCTGATATCTGAGATAATCTTTCAAGTATACAACCTTTTCAAAAATCTCTTAGGTTTCCCTCTTTTTCTTTTCCTGACAGATTCGAATTACTGAAACATTAAATAATTAATTAATATATTTGCGTGGGAAAAAAAGAAAGCATGTTCACTAAATTAATTAATTAGGTTACATAATATCTTAAAGTATCAAGCAAGTCCCCTTCCAAAAAAACTTAACTCTTAAAATTTTAGCACTTTAAGCAAAATACAACACATTTTATTTAAGTCTTGCTGTATTTCTCATTTTAATAAATGTAAATGAAAAATTAACTTTTTCGCATTGAAGACTTTAAATTTATTTACTTTAAAAGAAAGAAGAAATTAATTAATATTACCAAGTTGATAAAAGTAATAGAGATTTTTAATTTCAATAAGTACGAACGAACGTAAAAAAGAAGTACTTTGATTTTATATAAACCATTAAAATTAGATAAGTATTTTCATGAATTTAAAAATTATTTTTAAGCTATCCCATTGTTTTTTAAAGTAAAAAAAATTTTAACAAGCTGCTAATTTGTAAACTGTAAACTAAAATATTGCTAATCAATAGGATAAATTTACATAAATAATAATATTTAATAAGATAATGTGTAAGTTTTTAATTAAATTAATAAATTAATTGGCATCAAAAGTATAATTTAAAAGCTAAATTATTTATATCTATAATCAAAACGGCTTTTTTAATATTTCTTATACAGACAGTATAAAATAATTAATTAATATAAAATTGGTTATCAAGCAATAAAATAATATTAAAAAAAAAAATAATTTTTAATAAAAACATTATTTTATAAAATCTCTTAAATAAATTCTAAAATATTTTAATTTTTTTATTAAATCAATAATAAACATAAAATAAGAGACTAACTAATTTTGTACATAAAATTACTATATTTACTATAGAAACTCATAAATTAATACAAAATAATTTTTTCTTCTTTTTAAAATTTTTTTTTAATTTAAATATTCAGAAAATATGGTGAAAATTTATGTTTACCGGTGAGAATTTATGAGGATTTACGGTATTTAAATTTGTTGTTAAATAAAAATTTAAAGTAAATTGTATTTAACTTAAAAAAACTTGTATTTTATCTATTATTATTTAAACAAAACATTTTGATTGTTATAAGTGTATGTTTATTACTAATAAATTTAAATCTATACAAATAAAAATATTAAAGTAAAGTAACAAACTACAATTTATTTAAGGAAGAGGCAAATAAAAAAATAATTGGGATAGTCCAAACCAAAAGATAATAGAAGGTAGGTAAAAGGAAGTATCTATATTTAGCTTTAATAGACAGACAGCTTTTGTTAGCAATTAAGTTATTGAAGGATTACTTAATTTTAACTTAGAACAACTTTCTCAACTTTTCTATTCCTGTTTACGATTTCTCATAAGGATCTAATGACCCTAATTTTATAATCTAACCTTGTTAGGTCATAATACCATTTGAATTAAATGTCGCTGATAAACTGCCTTCTTCAATGAGATTTTTCAGCACTGAATATAACTAATGCTAAATTAAATATAGCTTAATCGCTTCAATTATACCTACAGAAGCAAACTTGAAACCAGTTTAAGGAATATAAGAAATATTTATTGGATAGTAAATTCCTACTTTAAATTTGCCTAACACTACTACTTCTACTTAATAGCCTGTTGTATGCTGCTGCTGTAAATCAGGTTAGATTAACTATAATATAACAACAAACAGCAGATCTTTTGCACCAAATGAATCAATTCAAATTAAAATGGCAATTGATTTTAGCTAATACACTAAAAAAGTGTAAAGTTTAAATGTCGAATTGCTTGGATAAGTTACTATGAAAGCAGACAATAATTTTAGAGAGAAAAAGTTTAAATTATATGAAAAAATAATGAGTGTAAAAGTAGAAAATTCTCAATAAATTAATTAGGAAGTGTCAATATAGGTGCCTGGTGATATTACTTTGTCCTCTTAAGGATAACTGCTTTCAGTAGTTTATAGCCTAAGAATAATTCCTAATATAAATACATGCTGATTTTCAAACTCTTAACCTCATGAAATAATTATTTACATGAATCCCCACTCGAACTAATAATTTAACTATAACGGTATCCCTTAGTAAATGTAAGTTTAAGCTCCATAAAACTGGAACCCTGTCTAGCTATAGCCTACTTAGTTTAGTTAATAGTAAAGCTTATATATATAGGAACAACAAAATTAATTCCATAATCAAGAAAAATAATATCTATTGCAAGCTAATGGATCACATGAAGGTCCTTATGAAGATTAGTAAAAAGGTAATAAATACTTGGTACCTAACCCAATGATTTCTTAATATCCTAATCAACAACAGCAAATGGCAAATTAAAACTAAAATTTGCTTTGACATTAATTCGATGCTCACATTAACATAAGAACAAACAAGTATGAAAATAATAATATTTAATAAATTAATTCTAATGAATTCACTTTTAAAAATTATGATTTCGCTCATGAACGAACAAAAATTTTAAATCATTAATTAAGCTAAATTAAATTAATATCAAACAAATATTTTTATTTTTTAAACTTAAATTTATTCTATACAGAGTTTATCTATCTTCACTGTAAATACTTTACTTTTTTTAAATAAATTTATTTTTTATCAAGTTAACTCATTTTTAAATTAAATCAAACTATTTTGAAAATCAAAAATATTTTTAAAAGTAATTTTATTATATTGAAATGAGTTTTAAAATTCAAATAAATTAATTCAAGTTATATAATTAATTTTAATTTAACAATTTATCTTACTCAAGCAATTAAATATATTAATTCATGCTAAATTTTTCTAAAAAAAGTTATAATGTTTGTATTTTTATTTTAACAAAATTAAAAAAATAATAATTTAATAAAAGATATTTTAAGAATCAGTATTTGTAAACAAAAATTCGAAGAGAATAGTGAGTAGACTAAATTAAAAAGATAAATTTTATATAATCATAATCTTTCCTCAATAAAAAGTATTCTAAGTTAATATGGTAATTAATTATTTTTTTTGTTTGAGTAAGTAAGTAAGTAAATAAAAAAGTAAAGTTGTGTATTTAAATTTTGATAAACCTCATTTTAAATCAAAAGTAGATTTATACTTTTATTAATTAGATTATATTGGCATTAAGAATTATTGCCTTTAATGTTTGGTATTTAATTTTTTTTGAAATTAGAGGTATGATTGTTTTTATTCTTTTTAGATAGTAGCAAGTACATACATACATAGCTATATTTACAGCTTTCTAGGTATAATGTAGATTTTCATAAATTAATTACCAAATATTTTATGGTCCAAAATTTTGTAATTAGAGTTTAATTTATTTTTCTATTTGCTCGTATTTTGTTAATTACAAAGATAAAAGTGGAGATGTTAGAGTTTATAAACAGCTTACTTATATAAAATTTTAATTAATATAAATTAAATATTTATAATTTGCCTACATTCTTTCTTTGAGCTTTTGAAGATAATTAATATAAAAATATAAATTAATTTTAAGGAATAAACTAAAAATAAAATTATTAATGGGATAAAGTCACCCAAACGATAATAGAAGACAGGTAAGAGGAGGTATTTACATATAGCTTTAATAAACTGCCTTTGTGAGCAACTAAGTCATTCAAGGCTTGCTTAACATCAATTTAGAAGAGCCATTTTAAGGTCATATTTTATAAATTACCTTAAATGGTGTAGAAGAAACTCGTTTCACATACGCTGTAAGGAGCGGCAAACACACTTCAACGAGACACGCAATAGGTTAAAATAACTTTCTCAACTTTTCTATTCCTATTTATGATTTTTCTCAAGGATCAAATGACCCTGCTTTTATAATCCAACCCTGTTAGTTAGTAATTCCATTTTAATTAGTGGTTGCTGATAAATTGCCTTCTTCGATGAGGTATTTCTACACAGAGGCTAATTAATGCTCAATTAAATATAATCTTATTGCTTCAATAATTCCTACAGAGGCTAATGTGAAACCTGTATAAGGCATTTAAGAAATATTTATCGGATAACAAATCCCTACTATTGATTTACCTAACACTACTACTTCTACTTAATCCCCTGAGGTATGTTGCTGTTGTAAATCAGGGTAAATTAAATATAACATAACTACAAATAGCAGATCTTACTCACCTAATGAAATTATCTCAATGAAAATTGACATAGATTTCAACTAATTCAATAAAAATATCAAATGTTTAAATATTAAACTAATAGGCCTACTTTCAATGAAAGCAAGTAATACTTAAAGAGAAAAGCATGTAGTAATTTACGAATAACCAATGAGCGTAAAAGTGGAGAAATCTTAAATAAAACAGGAAGTACAAATACAAATACCTGGTGATGTTACTTTATCCTCTCAGGGTCAGATGATTTAAGTATAGTATGGACTACAATTAACTTCAGTGATAGATACTTGCTGTTGCGTATCAGATAGTTAACCTCATGAAATAAAGCTCTACATTAATCCTTAATCAAATTAAATATTTGGTTATAATGGAATCCCATAATAATTATAAGTCTAAGCCCCTCAAAGCTGGAATCCTATTTAGCTATAACCTACTTAATTCAACTAGCAGCAAAGCGCCTACATATAGCAATAGCAAAATTAATTTTTTGCTAGAGAGTAGCAATACTAAATATAATTAAATAATTAGCAAAACAATCTTCAGATTCAATCCTAATAACCTATCAATTACGTGCCTGAATAAATGGGACCTTAAGTATATCCAAGCAATATGTAAATGGCAACCCTAAATTAAAATTTTCTTTGATAAAAATAAATGAAAGAACAGACAGAATACCTATAAAATTAATTTATATAAATATCGATTTTATTTAATCTGTGTTTGTTATTTATTTTTGTTTTTTGTTTCATTATATAAAAAATGAAGGTTTTAATTCTTTTAATACAGTAACTAACTAATAAAATTTATTAATGATACTTTCTCCAACTTCAATTAAATTATTTAAAATTAAAAAGAATTTTTATTCTCTTTAAATTACACACAATAAATCAATTAAAACATCCAAAAAGTATATATAATAGCATCTAATCCTTCCTAACTATAAAGCTCAATTACTAAAATTAATTAATTGTATCTGCATATGAATAAAATGAGGAGTAAGTATAATAAATAAATAAATAAATAAATAAATAAATAAATAAATAGTTAATCGATTTTTTATTTTATTTATCTCTAGGATATTTATTATAAAATAGAAATTGAGGATGAATATATAGAAAATATTTTTTATCCAAAATGAATATGAAAAAATAAAAATCGATATTTTAAAGACATTTAAGCACGCACGAAAAACTCTATTAAAAAGAGAAAATTTGGCCTTATGTAGATAGGATCAATCAATTTAATTGGTAATCCTAATAGGTTTTAAATATTTTTTGGAATAAATACATAAATAGATAAATAAATAAATATCAATTATAAATAGGTTCATTTTAGTTTTATTATATTTGATTAATTTATATTTTATTTGATATTTATATTACATATGAACTTAATTAAAGAGTAATTAGATTATCATTCATTTTTAGTTAATGCTCATTTAAACCATACTCTTTATTTTAAAAAGATTAGTTGTTAATTTCTTTAACTAAATTATATAGTGACTTCTGTCAGGTCTATTGCAAATATAATAAATATTCTAAATAAAAAGAAAGAAGCGATGAAAGTCAATTTTTTAAATTAAAATTTAAAAATAAATAAATTAAAAATTAAATTAAATAAAATAAGAAATAAAATATTTTTATAAAGATAAAAAATAAATAAATAAATAAATAAATAAATAAATATGCAATACATTTATTAGTTGCTTATAATTAGTAGTTGATTTAACTGAAAAAAAAAATATAATATTGTTAAAAGAAAGTAAAAAAAAATTTACACAAGATAGAGTTTCAGATTTTAAAGTTTAGAACATTTTTTTAAAGCTAAGCCAAAGTCTAATACACCTTTATCAGTAATTTTGTTACTCCTTTTACAAGTAATAATTTATTGAGTATAAAAATAGAATATAAATATAAGAATATTATAACTTATGAGCTAAATTATTGTAAATTTAGAATTCAAATATTAAAAATAAATAAGTAAATAAAAAATGAATAAAACAATTTTAAATTAAATAATTAAAAGAACATTTTCTTAAAATAAATTTTGCAATAAAAAAAATAAACTTAAAATTAATTAAATAATTAATAAACTATTTTACGTAAGATTAAGTGTCAAAATTATCAGATTAGTGCAATTTGCTAAACCCTAACCTATTGCTAATGCTCCACTATTGCCAATATCATTGCTTCTAAAAAAAAATAAAGAATAACTTAAACTAAATTAAAAAACAGAAACTAAAAATATAAATATATATTTCAATTAATTTTTTTGTTTGTTATGGCTAATTTATTACTTTTTGAAATAATTGATTTAAAATAAATCAAACAAACATATATTAAACTATTTATTTATTTATACCTAAGATTGATAGACAAATTAGAGAGATGAGTACATTTTGCTAAACCTGAGTTTAAACTCCAAATTGTTAATAAGCCAAAATAGTTGTACCTTATATTTTATTTAAATAAATTTATTAGTTCATTACAAATATGTAAAATATATGTAGGTAGGTAGATAGGAAATTACTTTGATAAAAATTAAATTTGATACTAAAATTATTTTATAAAACATAAATTATCATTAATTGATGAATAAAATTTAAGTTTATAGAAAATTAATCCTTTAATTTTGAAAGAAAATTAAAAAAATTTATTAGGCTTTTTCTAAAAGCGTTTATATTGTCTTTCCAAAGTATATATTTCAATTTAGATAAAAATATAAACATAACTTATGAAATTAATTAAGTCACAAAAAAGAAGAATAATCATTGATCAAATGAAATTAATTAAGTCACAAACAAGCAGGATAATCAATGATCAATGAAATTAAATAAATAAATATTTATACCTTAAGTTAATAGCCAAAGTTGACACTTTATTTAATTTCTTTAAAGCATTTCCTAAGGGTTAAATATCATGAATGTGATTGTTTCTATTATTTACATTTAAAATAAATATTTGACTCAATAAATATGAAAAATGTCAATTCAAATTACATTTAAAGAAATTATTGAAAAAATAACTTAAATTTAAAAATAATGCAATTAAACAAACAATACAAATATGCTAACAGAATAAAAGAAGTCAATTAAAAAAATTAAATCAAATTATCTATTTTCACCTAATGTCGAATCTTAAAGTAGATATATTAGTACAATTTTCTAAACCTGAACATAAATTCGATAAACCTTTAATAGAAACGGAAATGAAGCTTTTAAGATATTTTAATATGTTTTTTAACATTAAGTCAAAGATTAAAAAAAAATAAATAATAAAAAAAACAAAACTTAAAATTATTTATATTTAATATATAAACTAAATTAAAAATAAACAATAACTGTAATACCAAAAGCAAATATGTTTAATTTTTACCTTCTTAGGTTTAGTGTCAAGTTTTTGAGATTAACTAGCTTTTCTAGAGCAGAGCCTAAAGCTGATAGACCCTAATCACCTATTTTATTGTTGCTTTATATTTTTTAAATAATAAATTTTAACTTTTGATCTAAATAATTTTTAATTGGAAAAAATCTAAAATTTAAGTACTTATTCATTCACTTTGGAAAAAGTAAAAGAAAAATTTATAATCATAAACAAATAACTAATGAATGATACTATAAAGAACAAAAAGTAAGTATAATTTGGAATGGTGGATAAAATTTTTTCTATTAATTACTATTTAATAAAAACTAAGTATTTTAATCAATAAAAAAAAATCAAAAATCTATTTTTACCTAAGATTAAGGGCTAATATTGAAAGCTGAGTGAATTTTTCTAAAGTAGAAGCTAAATCTAAAGCTCCTTACATACTTATTTAATTGTTGCTTAAATATATATATTTGAGAGTTATTTTTGTAGCAATTAATAGCAAAAGCAAAATAAAGAAGTAATTAATAAAGTTATTAAAATTATAAAAACATAAAGCAAATAAGTATTTGTTCATTGAATGACTTTGTTTATTTATTTATAATTTTAAGAAAAAATTTGAAAAATTATTAATAAAATATTCTTACAATAGGTTGATCTTCAAAATTTTAATTTCAGAGCATTATGCTAAAGCTCTAGCTAAATTTGATGCTTATTAATCGTCAAAAAAAGATGAATGGCTTTAAATATTTTCAAATAAAATTTTAATTTAGTTTATTTACAAATATGAAAAAAATAAATAGTTAGTTCAAATAACTTTCATTAAATTTAAAGATAAAAAATTTATTTATTTTAAAAAAGAAATAAAAATGAGCATAATTAATTTTGCTACTAGAATACCATAAAAAAACTATTAATTAATGTGAAAAAATATTTTTTATAAGCATGATTTTGAGCCATTTTTACCAGATATGAATAAAAACATTTGTGTGAGATTCATCAAGAGAAGATTTTAAAAGCTTTTTAAAAAATAAAATAAATTCATACTTTTAGAATCTTATTAATTTAAGAATTAATTACCTTTTCAAGAGAGGAATATCTTTTTTATTAATTCGTTTTTAACTAAATATCCATTTTAGAAATTTAATGAAAAAATAATTAAGTCGTAATTATTAAGAATTTTTTTTATCAATCATTGTTAAAAAATTAAGGCTTAATTTGTTTAATAATAAAATTTTTTAGTCAGATTATTTTTGTTTTTGAGTTTTAAAATTATTAAATTTTTTTGAGGTTGTTTACATTAAAGAGTTTACGAATTCATAAAATTAATTAAAAATTTTAATTCTATTAAATACAACTCTGCGTCAATTTTGTTTGTGTTAAAAGTTAATTATTTTGAAATTAATGTTATATTTTTAATTTTCAATACATCTCTAAATCGTGAATCACATTAATGTAGTTATAAACTTCAAAAAAGCTTATTTTTTTTTTAATTTAAATTTCATTATTTATATCAATATAGCATGTAAATGCTCTCTAATCGAGGATACTCAAATAGATCTTGGGTAAAACAAAAGCAGTGCAAACTCTAATGTAATATTTTTTAAAGCAAAATAGATCAATTAAAGTTAATTCCAAGCAAATTAAAGAAAGCGAATGCTTAAAATAAAACAATTTCATACAAAATTTAAAAGCATACTAGTATTCTTCACTTTATTTGCTCTAAACTTTATTCAATTTTTTACGATTATTGAAAAGTTTCATTTTTTTATTGTTGTAAGTTTGTTTTGCTTTTATTGTTATTTTTTAGATATTTTATAGTTACATTTTTTGAGCAGAAGAGTAAAGGGAAATAAACATGAAATTAAAAAAAAAATATATATAATATATGCAAAACCCTTTTATAAGAGTATATATTTATGTATAGTACCCTAGTGTATTTCTGAAAAAACATTAATTAATAGAATTTTTTCAAATATGATTAACTAACTGCCCATCTCTAATTTCTATTATATATTTAAGTGTTTGTTTTAAAGACAAATATGAAGATTAAATAATTAATGTTAAATTAATTTTTTTGTAATATCTATTCATAAAATAAAATTTATATTTGATAATTGTTAAATTTTATTTGTTATTTTTACCTATTTATAATTAATTAATTAAATTCCATAAATTGCTATTTAATATTGAAAAAACAAAATAAATGAATTAATAGATTTAATATTTCAGCGAATTAGAAAAAGTAATTATTTATTTTTTTATTTATATAATTTAAATTTATATTTCCTAATATTAAAAGTTTTTAAACTCTTCGCTTTAATCTCACTAAGTTCTCCATATTAATCTGTTGTATATTTAATTAAATATAGTTTTTATTAATATTTTTTATAAAGTTAACTTTCAATTTATTTAAAAAAATAATTTTTCTAATAGATATTCTCCATTGATTTATATTAAAACAATAATTATTTATTATTCATTTTAATTATTTGATATTTTGTCTTCGTTTTTTGCTATTAACACTTACATTTGATAAAAAAAGCTTATTTATTTTCGATTGTCATATTTTTAATTATAAAAATTAATTTAAAACATTTTAACTCTTTACATTTATTTGATTATTTTCCTTTTTCTTTTTATAATGCTTGCTAATTTTTTCATTCTATGTTAGTTTAACGAATTATAAATTAATCTTATTATTTTATATTTTTTCTTCCTTTTTCCTTCTAATTGACTATTTAATTTTATATTTTTTCTTCAATATTTAAAAAGTGATCATTAAATTGATGTTAAGTGTGCAACAAGCTTAGGTTCTGCTTTAGCAAATTGCATTAATCTCTCAAATTTGACACTTGACCTTCAGTAATAACACTTTATTTATTTTGATGAATTGTGATATTTTTAATTATAATAACTAATTTAAAACAATAAAGTTCTTTTTCATTTTACTTTTTATTATTCTTAATTTTTATTCTCCTTTAGTTTAGATTTTATTATTAACTAATTTAATTATTTCATATATTTACTTCATTTTTTCTTCATTTGATCCTTCTAATTAAATATTAAATTATATATAGCCAAATGCCTAATTTTTAACTTTTTAATACAATCTCGTAATTCTCACGAAATCCTAAAAGAGTTTTTACAGTAATTTATATTTATTACTCCTCAAAATATTATAAATCATATTATAATTTACAGATAATCAAAATTTTACAATAAATGAATTATTTTTTGAGTTTTTTCTGAAAATAATATTTAATTAAATATTAAAAAAAGGATAATTAAATATTTTCAATTCAATATAAGCTTTAAATTTAATAAAATGTATGTTTTAACAAATTTTATTATAAATAATAATATTAAAATATAAGATGATTTTATTTTAATCAGTAGTCATATATATGTAAATATTATGGATAGTAAACATTAGCATTGAATTTAATATTGCATTCTTCAGTTGATAAATACATTTTCATGGCTGGATTTTCAAAACTTCCAAATTTGTGATCTCTAATTAATTTTTTAATAATAAAATTTAGTTATGTTATTAAAATGAAAATTAAAAAAGATAATTTAATTACTTGTAATCGTGAGTATTAGGTTAACCGTCTAAATGCTTATAGTAGAGAGGGTAGAAATTTTTTTTATCTGATACTGAAGAACAACCTTCGCTACTTCCAAAAATTTTAATCCAGTCTTCTTAGGAAGAAAAGAAACCAATATTCTTATTAGCAGTAGCTTTTAAATAGTTAGCAATCTCTTTAGTTCTTTAGCAATTGAAATCGATATCATCAGTCCATTTACATTTTTCGTCATCATTAACTGAAATTTAAATCCAAATAACTTAGCATGAGACTTAATGAACGGTTTTCAAGAATGTCTTTACTTAATCAGTAACTCTGCTTTCTGGATAGCTATCAGTATCTTTATTAATGCATGGGATGTAGATAAGTTGAGTGTCTAAGCCAGAAAAACTAGCCATTCTAGCTTAGTAAACAGTTTGAGGATCATTACCAGTAATAGTTTGGATAAAATAATAAGTAGTATCTCTTAAGCATTAAAATTCTTCTTCTTCAAGTGGTTAATTTTGAGTGAATCCAAAGAAAGGTTCTTCGAATCTGGCTTCAGTCGCCAACAATAGAGAAAGGACTACCAAAGTTAGTAAGATTATTTTGTTCATTATTAATATTTTAATAAAATTTTGATTATTATTTGATTAATAATTTAGATTTTGCCTTAGACTAATTAAATAAAAGATATTTCTCAAAAAATAAATAGATCTAAATTTCTTTTATGTGATTATCTCATAGACTAAAAATGATCAATCACAAATTAATTTATATATTTTTTAATAAATAATCAAAAAATTGATAGATAAATAACTAAATAATAAGAATCAAAAATGTTTTAATTACTCTTACTATTTCAAAAGTAAAATTATAAAATCATAGTTAAAAGTGACTTCTTATTGGAATATCTTTAAGATTCCTTAATTTATTTAATTTATAAACATATTTTTCTATTGTTTTTCTAAATTTGTAAGTAATAAATTTATCAAAAGGTTTTTGTATCAAAAATTTTCTGTTTAATCAGAAAAATATAATTTATGATTTTAAAGAATTTCGAATTATGAAAGAAGAAAATTATTACATCTCATTCATTAGTAAGAAAGTTTTTTATAAAATAGGTATCTTACTTAACTAAATTAATCAAAGATTTTTGTATCAGAAATTTTCTATCTTATCAGAAAAATATAAATTATATTTTAAAGAATGTTAAATTCTGAAAGAAGAAAATTATTAGATCTCATTTCATTCGTTAGAAAGTTTTTTATAAAAAAGGCATATTACTTAGCTTTCAAATTACCGTATTTATTCACTAACTCATTTCTCGCCACTTCAAAAAATAATATAGCGAATTCTAAAATTAAGGTATATTCAAAAATAATTTTTAAACAAAATTGAGGCATTAACATAAAGAACAGAAAGACGGTAGCTAATTTAGAGCTTATAAAAAATTTTTATGTTTAAAGAAAAGAGTTTGTTGCATATTTTAAAAATCACAATTAAATTTTAATATGGTAACTTTATTTTTAAACAAGCTACTATTAAAATCTAATGAGAAATCAGAAAGCTATATGTGTTATATTTTATATCTTTAAACTGATTTTTAAATAAATATTGTAAAATTATGACTAAAATTAGCTTGAAATAAGGTTTTTGTCGTTTTATAATAGTTTTACCATATAAAATTCAATAATATTTTTTATACAAATTTTAAAATAAGAAAAATTTAAAATATATTTAAAAAAACTCAAATATATAAATATAAATTGTTACTTATAAATTTAAAAAATCCCATTTATATTTTCTTTTGTTAATATATGTTTTTATATAATTTGATACTCAGATATCAGATTAAAATACAGTTAAAATGGTATCTATTTCACATATTGAAGCTAGAGAATAATCCTTCATGTAGGGTTACTTCCACTAACCGAAACTTTACTAAGGCCTTTTGATTTAAATATTTTAAATTATGTTTAAAGAAGATAAAGTTAAAAAAATATTAAAGTTTGATATTATTACCAATCATTGAAATTAGGATTTGAGTCAAGATGTATGTATCTGAGAGGTAGATCAGTAAATTCAGCACAGCTCTCAGAAGTACCGAAAATGTTAACCCAATCAATTTTTGAAGAGCGGACAGCTACTTTATTTTTAGAATAACTCTTTAGTAGGCTAACAAATCTTTTTAATAAGTCACAGTTTTATTCAACATCAGTTGACCACTAGTTTTTCTTATTTCTTTGTTAAACATTAATCCAAATATATTCATAGCCATGGATATTAGGATTATATTAAACTAGTTAACCTACTTCTACTTCAGGTGTAGCATATTTATTTTCACCTAGTGGATCCACATCAGGTTCAAATACTAATTAAGCACCAAAAGGCATTTTGTTTATCCATAATTAAAGGAATCCTTCATTAATAGTTCCATAATCTTTATAGATGTGGATAAACTACTATTACATTCCCAATAACTTAAGACAGTCTGTGTAGCCTACCTCTTTATCATAAGCGAAAGCGAGCGAATATTTTTAGTTATCTTGAACATTCATTGCTGCTGCAATAATTTAAATAAGCAAACAAGCTAAAAGAAGTTTTCTCATGTTTTATTTTTTATTCAAGGAAATGCAAATTATTATTTGAAATATAAAATATAAAAATTTCTTTGTTTATAGACAAACTAAATGATATACTAAAAACAACTAAGTGCATACAATATAGATTATTTAATTATGGATAATAATTAAACAAAGAATTATAGATATTTATTTTTATCCTGATTAAATATAATGATTAATGTAAACCATTAAAAGACAAAATATATCAAAAAATTGGTAGCTCCAAAAGATTTTTAATAATTTGGGTTCACTCAAATAGAAAACAAAAGAATTCTTTAAATTTAATATTTTTGTTTGTTTAAGATATATATATTATAAAAGAATATTTAAAAGTTTTTATATATTTTTTGTTAATAACAAACAATTTCTTTATTTTTTTCTCCTGTTTATTAATTTATCAGTAAACAGATAAATCAATAGAACTACCGCATACATAAGTATTTTAATAAGTCTTCATATGTGGTTTAGCCCATCCTCCAAAAGATTTTTCAGCCCTTTTTATTAAAATAAAATTTTATTGATTGTTAATGAAATTATATTATTAAAAAATAAATGTATTATTTTACCAGTCATCGAAATTAGGTTAGCTGTTATAACTTTTGTAATGAACACGAGTAGCATAGGATTTATTTGATGTGCATTATTGAGAATCTCCAAATAGCTTTATCCAATCTTCTTAGCTTGAATAAATACCTACAGATAAACCTATACTAGCTTTAGATGCTGTATGAACAAGATCTGTTAAGATCTCGCAATTTTTTTAGTAGTCATTAGTCCATTAGCAATCCTTAATATTGTTAGCTTCAACAACTATCCAAAAGAAATCACCATAATCTCTGTTGTCGTAATAACTAGCAGCGAAGTTTATCAAATTTTTTGTCTGATTTTCCAAAGTATAAAATGGAAATTTAGTTGGGTTGTCATTTATACATGGTATGTACATTGAATTGCTTTTCATACCAGTTCTAGCAGCATATTATCTACCAAATTTATGGCTAATATCGTAGCCCCAAATTTGTTTGTAAACAATGTTTTAGAAGCTAAATTGTTAATTTGAGTAGCAGATATATTTGTCAATTGACTCGAATTAATCTACATCTTCTAATTTAGTCATTCCTTTCACTCCTTTTTAAGCGTTAGATAAGGAAGCAAACAATATTAAACTTAAAACAGAAATATAGATCTTTTTCATATTTGTTATTTTTTAGATAATTAATTTTCTTAATTATTAATTTATTTATTTGTATTTGATTTTATGATTACTACATATCTAACTAGCAAGATAAATATGTGCTAAGAATAAAATCTGACAAAAAAGACTTTTAATAAGGAAGATAAATATAAAATGATTAAAAGTGAATTTTTTGAAGTATAATTTAAACACTAATAATTTAATATCAGTTTTTATCAAATTCCAAAACATATTTTTTGTAGATCTTATCAAAATTATTATTAACTCAGTATTCAAGATTTTAGAATGTTCAAAGAATTTATTACAAATAAATAATTAATTTAAGTAAAATAATTAATAAATATATTTTTATTTAAATTTTTATCTATTTTAATTCATAAAATTTTAATGTCAAAAGCTCTCTGATTCTATTTTTTAATTTAAATTTTGAAGTATTTAAACATAAAATTTTTTTTGTTTTTTAAAAATTTATAAAGTTAAATTCAACAAATATTCTTACAACACTAATCTGACTAAAAAATGGAATTATACATGGTTTTGTAATAAATAATTTGATGAGATGAAAATGAATATTCCGTAATTGTTAGAATTTAATAAGAAAAGGGTTAAATTTTCAGTTCTTCATTTATTTTAATAATATGCAATATGTATATCATCCTCCCTATTACCTTCGGTACTGCTGTTGGAAGGCTTACAATCTATATAGTTTGTATTTATATTATATCTTTAGGTTATAGTTGTGTTGTGTATCTGATGAAAAAAATTATTTCTCTTATTTATAACAGAAATTGGTCTAGGTCATAAATTTATTGATAAATTTTCTGGATATAAAATATTTATATTCAATTAAGCATTGCATTGATCAGTTGTCTTATACATTTTCATGGCCTGAGGTCCAAAAGTTCCAAATTTGTGATCTCTAATTAATTTTTATAATAAAATTTAGTTATGCTATTAAAATGAAAATTAAAAAATGATAATTAAGTTACAAGAACTCTTTAGTATTAGGTTAATCATCTAAATATTTGTAGTAGAGAGGGTAGAAATTATATAAATCTGATGCTTCAGAACAACCATATTTATCTCCATAAATTTTGATCCAGTCTTCTTAGGTAGAAAAGTAACCAATTTTTTTATTAGAAGCGACTTTTAAATAGTTAGCAATATCTTATGTTCTTTGGCAATTGAAATTGATATCATTAGTCCATTTACATTTTTCGTCATCATTAGCTGAAATTTTAATCCAAATAATTTAGTAATTGATATCCGAAGTGGCAGCCAAGAATTTGTTTACTTAATCACTAACTCTGCATTCTGGATGGGCATCAGTATCTTTATTAATGCATGGGATGTACATAAGATGAGTTTCAAAGCCAGCTTCCTCAGCAAATTTAGCTTAATTATAAACTTGAGGATTAATACCATTAATATCTCTACCAGTAATAACTTGGAAAGTATAATTAGTAGTTGACTTTAAGCATTAATATACATCTTTTATAAGTGGTTAATTTGGAGTAAATCCTAAGAAAGTTTGTTGATCATCCTTATTGAATCTGGCTTCGGTTGCCAGCAATAGAGAAAGGACTACCAAAGTTAGTAAG